TACATCCCTTTCCTTGACAATGGATTGTTTGAGCATTTTCTTGATTTCTGGGTATATATATTATCAATATAAATTTGAAAATTGTCATTTGCAGATTTTGATTTTGGAAAACTTAGTGAATTTTGCATTTAGAGTAGATGCTGTTGCAGTTTTTCTTTTGATTCTGAAACATGCTGAATGTGCTTTATGCAGAAGAGGTGTTAACCTGCTTCCACCCCATAAACCTCTTCAGATCGCAATGGGCTATACAGACATTTAGGTTTTTACAGATTTTCACTATATGGGGTTGGGGTTGCAGCTGACTGTCTCTGAAAGCAATATGCTCATTCCTTGAACAGTCCTTTCCCTTTCCATCTGTAGCTACACAAAGCAGCACTTCTTGCACCAAGTCATTGAAATAAATTCCATCTCAGGCTTTGCAAGATCAAATGCTTCACAAAGCAATCCTTTTCTCAGCCCAGGGACTAAGCCTTGGCAACTCACCCCCTGCCATGCCAGTGACATGTCTTTGGAAAAAATAATAGCAGCCATGCAAAGTGTGCTGCTTTTATGAGCACTCTTGTTTTCGCTGGCTGAGCTCCTCCCACCCCCCTTGAGCCTTGTGATCTGTCAATATTTACATTTGAGGTAAGCTAGCAGGGCCAGTGCCAAGGGATGGCATGGTCAGATGGTCAGGCACCTGATGAGGACCCAGATCCCAGCAGGTGCCCACTGACAAGAGTCCCTTTGATGCTTACTCCTCTTCATCCCAATGACCTGCTTGTTTACCTGCCTCTTGCTTTGGCCCAGACAACAGGGGTGGAGGTGAGAAGGAAGAGCAGTAGATACCGCTGCCTCCATGCTTTCTATCTGTTGAGTGACTATATGGTGGCAATGAACTGAAAGAGGATCAGGAACAAGCCCAGTTGGTGATGAGGAGAGAGGGAGAACCACAGAAGCTATCTTGCCCAAGGGACCTCAAGCTGGCACTATATGCTGCCTATGTTCTCCTCATCTGCCCTTTAAGCTAGAAGCTTAGCCTCTGCTATTCCTAGCAGAACATGGAAAGCAGAAAGCATGGCACCCACTTGGACAAAATGGAAATGGAGTGGAAAGACTCTCTTATGCAGAGCACTGCCTTTGGGGAAAAAGTAGGGTGGGCTACCAAGAAAACCTTCACCACTAAATGACATCACCCTGTCCTATTCAACTGGTGAAGGTCACGGAAATGCAATCTTAAGTATGGCCTTTGCAATTATGAGGCATGCCAGGTAAATAACCTTCTCAATGTGTATGTGATTGTGCATGTGTAAAGGAAGTGTACGCGCACCTGCTCATGCTCTAATGCTGATCCCCATCCATATTTATCCATAGCGCAGAATCTTACAGTCAAAGTGCACACTCATTTAGACCACAGAATGTAATCCTACCTGGGCTAAGCCACGTCAGGCTGCTGGTTGTTGTGAGTGTACATTTGACTATTCCTCTGCATAAAAATGCCCTGCTATTGGAAAACTAGTATGATGATCAGAAGAGTTTCTGCTTAGGCTTCTCCCTGTTGTGCTTGGCATTTTATTTATTTATTATATGTAGCAATATGCTTGTGAAACAAAATACAATAAATCTGGGGCACTTTTAAATTCATGACTCCCAACTTTCCTGAAATGGTAAAGCCCAGGAATATGAGTAACATCCTGCACATATTATTTGGCACTCAACTGCTCCACACAAACCCCATGAAACTTCTTCTGCTTGCTCCCTGGACCTACTTTTCTGCTAGCTGCTACACCCTGATCCTCACAGGAGGGGAGTGTGAGAAGTTTTGTGTTATTTCCCAGCACTTTGGGAAGGGACAAAAGCACCTACACAATCCCTTTCCTTATAGTTTTGCATTCTCCCCCAGCCCTGGTATACCTGAGTTCCTTCACTTGATGGGAAAGAGACAGCATGAAAATTACTATTTCCGGTAGCTCTTGCTAATCTGTTAGCTTGAGTAATTCTATATTTGGTGTTTGTTGGTGGTGAATGATGTTGTGGCTTTAAGCTACAAAAACATCAAAGGAAGGCAGTGGGGGTGATGGTGGAAGAGACAGTCTCAAAACTAGTGATAAGTTTAAAATATTCATGGTATGAGTTGGTAAGTATGCTCACGAATGACAAGGAATTATGGGGAGAAGAGGACACAGGAAGAGGGAGAGAGATACAGAGGGAGGGTGAGACAGAGAGAAGACATACCTGATATGAAATCCAATGAGGCATTTTGCATTCATGCTCTCTATACATTTATATTACATCCTTAACCTGTGCTAGTGTATACCAATTTAGTTAGACTCACTTACATGAGCCCTCAATTTCACAGTGTATTACTTACAACAATGCTTCCTAGTGCCCATGGCTGATTCAGTTGTGTCTTGGAACGATAAAGCAAAAAAGTTTATTAACATACCCAAACTCTTAAAACTTTTGAGCTATCTGTTCACTATTCTTTTCCCCTCTGAATTTCCTTTGCCTGTTTTGTTACTCTTTCCTATGCATACTTATTTGGAAGTACAGCTGGGAATTACTTCCTACTTTGTGATTCTACAGTTGCAACTCCTCTGTATACTTTTATCCCCATAATCTACATTTCCTTGAGATGCTATACAGTTTGATCTGACTAAACTGGGTCCAAACTTAGATTGTACTGAATTGTATTCAAAACAACTAATAACTGTGTTCCCTGCACACCCATCCACAATTTACCTGTGTGTAGGGAAAAGTGCAAGCAGACAACACGTGGCAGGTTATGCTGTACATTTGTAGCACTGGAATTAAGGATTTTTAGACTCTGGGCTTAATGCTCCCACAAGGCTGGTCATGATTCTTTAGATGTACATTACTTCACTTACTTCAGAACAAGAAATACAGCCTTGCTGCATTTGAGGAGCCCTCCTTCTCATTTTCATGAGTGAAAATCCTGGACTTTTGCCCTACAGTTCTGCTCTGCTTGCACCACTGTATACTTGATGAGACCTGAATTCAAGAACCAGGGCTTAAAGAACAGACTTGGGAAACCCCGGTACTGAGATTTTGCCATAGACCTGTGTGTCCCCTGAAAAGTCATTCTTTTTCAGCCACCGAACCCAATCTGCACAGTGGGTCTAGTAATTGTACATTACTAAATGGAGCAAATTGTACATTGTACATTACTTAATGGAGCAAACCTCCATCAAGAATTTGAAATCATAAGGCTGCAATCTGATTGCGCCTGGGCAATATAGCACCCCAGGGACCATAGGATGTTTCAGATTTTACCCTTACAGCACAGAGTTCTACCTTCAGAGAGGGAGCTGCTTGCATACTTCTATAGCTCTTGCCTCTCTGGGGTTGGAGCACCCTTGCTGGTAGTGGCAAAAAGACAAAAGGCATTGCAGAATCAGGAAAATTGGGATCCCATTCCCACAGCACCCTCCTTAAAGCAGAGAACATATAAGCCAGTCCTGGAAATGGGCTACATCATTTACCACCCATTACAATCACAAGGAAGTAGTGAAAATGTTTGAGTATCTCCACATGCTCATGTACACACATCATATATGCAGAACTGGTTCCAAAACAGGCACGGAGGGGCATCTGTCAAGGGCCCATACCTCAGCTGGGACCCACTTGGACCTGCTATCTCCCTAAAGCAACCTGCTGTTTACTTGCTTTTTGCTCTGGCCTGGAAATGATGCTGGTGAGAAGGCCCATGCCGCTACCTCCTGCCCTCTTGGCCAGCGGGTGGGAGCCCCGATGTGAAAGAGGCAGAGGAGAAAGAACAGCTGCTGACCATAGTGCTGAGATGGTGGACTCACTGAGGGAATAAGGCCTTGACCAAGGGCCCTCCAAAACCTGGAACCGACCTTTTCACTGTCTACAAAAAGGGCTACAGGAGAAAAAAATGGAGCAGTTGGGAGTTATGATTGGTAGGAAATGTTGGGCAACCACAGTATGAAGAAATATTAGTATCACTTTTTTATGAGCAGAATTACACTGTCTCACATCTCGTTTGCAGCCACCTGCAAAATCTTATTAAGAAAGGAGCACCTGCAAGTAAGGTATGTGCATGTGTCTGTGTCAAGGCCAGTGATTTTTAAAATCCCATTATTGTTGTTCCAATACATTGATCTAACATCTATCATTCCGCCTTCTTCCTCCCCCGTTGCTATATTTATCCCCTTAGCTGCTCATTTTCCTTAAAGCATGATCCATTTTAATGTCATGTCTGAACTGACAGGAGGAGGAGGAGCCCTATATAACTTTTGCTGCTTCTTGTATCTGGGAGGGCTGTAAGTGTTCTTGTCCCCAACAATGTTTTATAAAGACACAATGTACCATGAAAACAAGATTAAATGAAATTTTGTTTCACTTTTTAAAAAATCAGGTTATGGTGTTATGAGGTTCCCCAAACAAGGTAATGAGTTTTCAAACATTTTATTAAAGGGCTTTAACGCCACCCCGCCACCCCCCGCCAAACAGTATCCTTTAGAAAGTCGTATTTTTCCTATCACTTTCTCCAACTCTTATACACCCCTGGAAGCTCTTCGCCGCCGCCGCCGCCGCCGCCCCCCGCTCCCCCTGGCACCATCTGCATGATTACCCACGGCCTGATTTTATCCACTTTATTCCCGGGGATGGATTAACAGGGTGCTATAAATGTCTCCTAGCTAGGAACAAACCCTGTTGAACTCAGGACAGTTTACCCCTGTACAAACAGGTATAGGATTGCAACCTCGGTCTTATTGATTTCAATGAAGCTTACTCACACACCCTCGGATTGTAGTTGCAAAATGAACCTCACTAAACACGCTGCCCAAGCGACCAAAGCAACCCGCTACTGCGGTCGAGGAAGTGGCTTTCGCGCAGGCGGAGTTCGTAGCCAATGAGCTCTTCCGAGCGCCGACTTGGAACAAACTTCGTTTCCCAGGGTGCATTGGGGCTTTTTCCTGCAATAGGTTGCCCCGGTTGCCTAGCGTGAGTTGTAGTCCAGAGTGGCATTGAGGAGGCTTCGCCGTATGGGGCTAGCGTGTCGGTCTCTGGAAGTCGGCTGAGTTTGGGTGACTCCGGAAACGGCCTTTCCGCGGGGACGAAGCCGGGCAGAATAGCTTAGAAAGAATGGGGCTCTTCTTAGGGAAGGATTTATCTACATAAGGAGCCTTTTGGAAGAGAGGACGGTTGCGAAAATGGGAATAGATGGGAATGGTAGTCCAGTTTAATAAAGGGGTGAGGCCATGAAAATGGGGAGTGGAGCATGGGAATTGTGTCCAGTCTTGAGAATGAGGGTTGGAGAAACAACCACTAGGGAGATTAAGCAGGACTTAATAGCGAGGGAAGAGACCCCATTTGCATGGTACTAGGGAAACTATCCCAAGAGTTTTGTAGCACCGGAGCAGCGTCATGGCATGCTTGCCTACTCAAAAGTAAGTCCCTTAAGTCCAATAGAGCTTCCTCTTAGGTAATGGGGAATAGGGTTATGGTCTGAAAAAGTTAAACGCAGATTTATTATAGCATAAAGTTTGTTGGGCTCTGGTCCATGGAAACTTATGTCATAACAAATCTTTCAGGTCTGAAGGTACCACTATGCTCTTGATTGTTTTGAGTGCAATAATTTAACAGGGCTAACTGCCTGGAATTTGTATGGTAGGGTTGTTGAGTCAATCAGCTGAGTTTTAGAGGTTGCAAAATTATTTTCTGCCTTAGCTCAGTGACTGGAATAACTATCTGGCATGGGTTCAACTCTATATTTTATAAAGCCAGGTTATATTGTGTCAGCAAGTTGAGCAGTTAAATGGATGAAATGTTTGGCTTTTAAAGGCTTGCAACTTAAGCTCAAGACAGATATTTTGTTTTGTTTTTCCAGAGAACTGAAGGTGATTTGAAAAAGGAATAGATGTTTTGGTGTATAAATTTTCCGGTTTTGCAACTGGTTAGCACATTTTGCAGGGTTTGCATTGCTTCAAAAACAGATACTATTGGATCCCAGGTGTCTGGGGACAAAGAAGCTGCATCTACATCATGAGAAGCTGATCCTCACCCAACTCATTTAAAATTGAGTAACAAACTACTGGGTCTCTCCAGTTGTATAAGTGTGTCCACAAGGTGCCCTCTGGATTGAATGCTGTAAAAAAAGCATGTGAGATGTTCTGGCTGTCTCATTTTTATTGCTTCCAAATTGACTGGGAGCCCCTAGTTGCTGCCATCTTAATTTCCCATAAATATCTCAGCACAGGTGACTTTGTGATTAACCATGCCTACTCATGGTGATTATTTCATGGTTGTGCTCAGGATAATTTCTTACATTTTCCAAATTTCCTGTGTGCCCAAAAGATTACCTATCCCAATCTGTCCTAACATTATTGTTTTAATTTATTGTGTATTTTATTCGATGTTGTGAGCTGCCCCGAGGCTTCGGCAAGGGGCGGCATAGAAATGTTTTAATAAATAAATAAATAAATAAATTGTTAGATAATCTAAACTGGGATGGTCAAGGGAAAATCAACCTGGTTTGAAACCAGTGCAAAAAAGTGTTGACTCAGCCTTGAATTGTATATACAGAGGATAATCAAGTTCTTTAATCACATTTAGCACCACAAATTGTACTTTTCTAAACAAGTACAGATAATTACCATAGACAACTACAATTGTTAAACTTCAGGATACGTGTGATTTTTGTCCATCTCTCTTCCTGCTACACACAGTACTATGCATTTTGGTATTTTCCCCCTTCCTCAGCTTAGTATAGTTTTCCCTGTTAGTGGGGCACATGCATCCTGTAGATTGCTGGTGCAGGACACACAGTTTGAATTCATATGTGAGCATGCAGGTCTGATGCAACAGACATCTTCAGCCAAAAGTACAATCCAATATTTGATTTCCATAATGGAAGCTCCAGCTTAGTCAGAAGTAAAATACTCTGAACTAGAGGCTTAATCTGGATTCATTGAAAGCTGGTTGTGGTGTTTACTCAAGTTATTTATTATTGATTTAAATCATTTTTATCCTACCCTTTAGCAAAATGGCTTCTAAGGTTGCTTCAAAGGATATTTCTTAAGGCTGATTCTCCCCGCAGGTTTGCAGTTCAAAATAGGAAAGGAGATTGTAAGGGAGGAGATAAAAAGTAGATTCAAGCACTGAATTCTTGGTTGCAAAATACAGCAGGTCACGGGCCCAGTAGAAAGGCGGCGCCTGCTTCTCTCTTTGATGGCCACAGCATGGACAGTTGGTGGTGGTGAGTTCTCAGCTGGCATGGTGGAGGAATAGACTGATGCCAGGATAGACTTGCTGCTGACCTTGAGCCCTTGGAATAAAAAGGTGAAGAAACAGCCATGTACAACAGTTTCTTACCATTCTTTTTCATATAAATCTTACCTGAAGTGCTTAAATAGCTTTATTTAAGCTTGTATGAATAGCTTAAATTGATGGGATTCTTTGTAGAGCTGAATGTTTAATCAGTTAGATTCAAAAATTGAAAACAACAGTCTGAAACATGTTCCTGGTTGATCTGTATCACAGTTTCTTAAAGTATTTTAACTCAAATACATATAAAAATCCACAGATAAAATCATCTAGGCTTGCAGGCACACAAGACAGGCTTCTCAGCGGTGGTCCCACAGTTGGCAGAACTCTCTTCCAGGTTACATTTGCTTGGCCCCTTCAGTTCTTAAAGGGCTTTAAAATATACAACTTTTTATTGCTGCATTCCCGAAGCAGGTTTTCATCATGAACCATTTTGCTCTGTCCTGTTTGCTTGTAAATTATGTTCTCTTATTTCTTTCATTTTGTATCCATTTGTAAAGAGATGGCTCTGAAAAGTGACTAATAAATAATTAGAATAAAGATAGAGTCATTTCTGCTCCTTTTACATCTATCTGTATCATACATTTATTGAAAACCATTTCTAAGCCACTTTTAAGGGTGGGAGGGAATGCCTCTTCTGAGATAATGCCCGCTATGATGTACTCATATAGTGTCTAAAGGTCAAAGGAGGCGTGTCTTTTAGTTCTGAACTGTAGTATTTACTCCAGTGCACTAATTTATTAATTAAATGTACATGCCACCCAGCTGGCAAACATGCTTCAGGGCAGTTTACAATCAAAGCTACTTGATGAATGAATCAACTAACATTTACATGATTATTTGACTAAGATTACTGGAATCAGGTGACTGAATTTGCTTTTATTATTTCTTTTCCCTCCAGCTATACAGTCTTTTAATGAGAGTCTAATGGAAGATGTCGTCTGGGCTTACAGAAGAACAGAAAAGGAAGATTGAGGAGAACAAGCAGAAAGCTTTGGCAAGGAGAGCAGAACGACTGGCAGCTCAGCAGGGCTGCATTGCTAAGAAGCAGCCTGACCAGCACAGTCGTACTGGCTGTCAAGGAGCCCCGCAGCAGCCTTTGCGGGAGCAAAGCCATCGTGCTGTTGCCAGTAGCCATCACCTGCAGGTCTCCAGCAACCATGTGGTACAGAAGAGTCTTCCAATGCCACAGCCTCGCTGTAGCTCAAATGGACAGGCAGCCTCTGTTTCTGGTGCGCAAGAGAGCAATTGTTCAGGGGACTCCAGCTGCCATAAGGACAGGCAGCTGAATAGCACTGAGCAGCCCTGGCCAGAGGTGCAAGACTTCGTGAATCGCTGTCACTGGCATTCTTCTGATCTGAGCACTAGGGAGCAAGGTCAAGCAATCTGGCATAATTCTAATGTGTTGCAGCCACCTAAGTGTCACACAGCAGTCCAGAATGTTGTGGAACAGCATCCATCCAGACTGGATGCTAACAGGCAGCCTCACAACATTACAGATGTGCAGATCCAGAAAGAGTCCAGTGGTGAGCATAGTGACATTAAACATACCCTTCCAGTGAACTTCACCAGCTCTGAGAACCCCTTTGCTGAGAAAGAAGGTAGTAGCACAATGCATTTTTATGGCACAAAAAATGCTTCAGTTCCTGTAAAAGCAAGCATAGGAGCAACACTGGGTGCAGGAAATGTATCTGAGATGCCTGTACAGGCAAAAGCCCATAGTGTTCTCAGAGGAAAATGCGTGAAGCACTCTGAAGACCGATTCCGTGTTGAGATTGGCTACAACTCAGAACTTATTGCAATGTTCAGGAGCTTACGAAGCAAAAATTATGGTAAGACAACTGATTACAGGCTATGTGTTTGCTGTACTTGTAAAAACATTCTTAACTGGGATTGTGTTAGACATTGTAAATACCACAGCACTGGAAAGCTTCTTTTTATGCTTGGTCTTTTAAAAAGTATCTAGTTCTCATGAATACAAAGGACAACCTAAACAAATTGTAAATCATGGGGAGAGAGGATGTCAGGGCCAATGTACTCCTAGTGTAACCTCTAAGTACAACAGAGGTCAGCGTGAGGCTCCTAGACCGTCTGGTATACTTCTTGCTTCTCATGCTCTTCTGGTCTGTCCCTGAGTTCTTTTAGTTAAGAAAATGAGAGCCCATTTGATCTTTGTCAGTGGAGATACAGTGTGCGTGTGTGTGAGAGAGAGAGGGAGGGAGAGAGAGAGGGAGGGAAAGAATGGAATATCCTAGGTCCAGTTACCACCTGAATTACTCATCTCTGCAAGTTGATCTGCCCAGTGACCCATCTCCTTGTGTCTTGTCTGCCAGGAATAGAAAATGCTTTAATTTCAGTGGGCTGTTAATGTATAGCCCCTAGTTTTATTGCTGCTTTAATGTGAAATCTATTTTATCCTTGCTGTCACATTTCAGGTTGTAGTTGTGGGTATATATGTTAGTTATTAAAAGCTGGTTGTACTCTATGCTCTTAGTTACTGCTTTTAGAAATTTCTTGTTATCTATTGTACTTACATTTTATTGATTATATTTTATGGCATTGTGATTAAAACATATGCCAATCATACCTTGTAGAAGAAGGGATTGGAAGAGGGATTAGGGTCACCATACATCCTACTTAACAGAGCACAGTCCTCTGTTTGAAGGGCTCTTGGAGGACAGTTTTTTTCTTTGAAAACATCCTCTTTTTGAAGGGTTGTCCAGCCCATGCCCACTTTAAAGATAAGCAGGGAAGAAGAAGGGCCTTGGAGGTTGCCCATCCACAGTTAGCACCTGGACTGCAGTCTGAGTTGGTACACTAGTTTCCTGGTCAGTCTTCACTACAGTGAGATGTACTGTATTTCCATTATAGCAGTCTTCCCCAGCCTTGTGCCTTCCAGACACATTTGGACCGCAACACCCAGAATTCCCAGTCCGTGGCAAGGCTGGACGGGAATTGTGGTCCAACCTGAAGGCTTGGGGAAGGCTGAATTATACTAATCATTTTTTAAGTCTGCACTTGTACATACAAATCGGTATGTGCACATTTTATGCAAATCTCTGTGTTCTTTTTGTGGAGCAATATGTAAGTGCTCTTTCCAGACGGCTTATATATTAGTTGTTGTTGTTCTTAATTTTCTCTTAAGTGTTTTATAAAAGAGGATGAGATGAAATTTTAAAATCTTATATTCATTATTCTATAACTAGTTAGAACTTATATTGAACATATAGAAGTTTGCTTCTCATTGCTTTTGAAACCTCGGTTATTTTTAGGCTGTCACAGGTATCCCTGGGCTATCCTTCTGCACATGTTCATGGCTGGCTTTGGCATGTGCAAATGGTCTGTACAAACAAATCAAGATTTAAAAAAGAATGATTCCTGCATGGAATCATTCCTGCATTTAGCACTGCTAATGTAGACAAACACAGAGCTTCTAAATGAACAGCACCTTCTACATCAGGGGTGGGCAATTAATTTTCTTATGGGGCCACATGAGAAACTTTGACAGTTGTTAAGGGCCGGACCAATACACTTACAGCTCTGCTCAATATATATCTCTATAAAAACAGTAAATGCAACATTACAATGATACAATGAAAATGTGGAGCACAGAACAACACTATTTAATGAATATTCACAAAAACATTAACATTACATGAAAAGCAATAAATTCAATTCAATTTAGCAGATCCTTCAAAATAAAAGCAGTGCAGTTGTATTGCTTGCATCTATATTATGACGATATATATTTGCATTGACTTTTAATTTGCCAGTGACCTCATGCGGGCCAGTCAGGGTCAGCCATTGGGTCGAATGTGGCCCGTGGGCCGTACAATGCCCGGGTCTGTTCTACATGAACAAAATAAGTCATATTAATGTGGAAATTGCTTGTGGAGGTGCACATTATACTTTCTCAACATGTTAACATAATATTTTCTGTCCTAAAATGATTCTTCAAATTCTGCTTCACTCCAGATCCTGCAACAAAGATGTGGAATTTTAGTCTTGAAGACTATAGTCAACTCAGTAAGTACTTAGAGTTTTGAGATATGTGCTGGGATTTTTGTAGATATAGAATGCCTTTTCCCATAAATTCGAATAAAAAGTCTGTGCAATCCTTACTAAGATGATTTGCATAATAGCAGGAAAGAGGTGGTTTATATTTAGAAGGTGTTCAGGTATATAGCCTTCTGCATACAAGTGGTTCTATAGCCCTTCAGAGATGGTGAAGATTGTTTTGAAAATGCAAAATGTTTAAAAAAAGTTTTTTTAGAAAATAATTTGAAATGGCTGAAAATTGTCATCAGGTTTGTGGGAGAGGAGAGAAGCTGCAATTTGAGATTTTTCTTAAAAGATGTTTCTGTAGCTTATTAATAATAGAAAATTCCAGATGCTAGCAAAATCTTTTCTTTCTGAGTGTAGCTCTACTCACAAAGGACATGCCTCTGCTGAGTTAGGAGAGAATAAGTGATAAAATGCATTTTTGAGCTTGTTTAATTGGCATCTTTGGCCAATAGTATGTTTCGTTCCGCTTCTCTTCTGAATTTAATGTCTCTTGTGCTTTTTCTCTCTGTTCTGTTGATTCTTCCGTACCTCAGAGTTGATGAGTTTTTATTCATTATTCATTTGTTCTCCTTCATCCCTCTCCCTACACCTGAACATACCCCCAACTTGTTTCATCTGTAGTGGAAGCAGCAGGCCAAGTTTCCTCTGTGATCTTGGCACCTCTGGTAGGAATGAAGGCAGCTACTGGGGCCACTGAGTCATCATCTTTTGGTGGAAGTTCTTGCTCACGATCCCTCTTGCAGGCATGCATTGGCTGGCAGAAACCATCAGCGACCGTCAGAGGGAAGTGTGTGCTGATTTCATACTCTCGGTTTGAAGTCGATATTGGGTATGCTGCCAGCATCATAGGGGTATTCAAGCAGGTGAATTCTAGGAATTATGGTGAGTGACATGGCCAGTGTGTTAACTGAAACAGTGCAGCAGTAGTCCCTGTAACTTAGTCTTAGTCTTTACTGTTGATGTTGGTCCCCCCGATTTGCTTCCTAGACCTAGAGAACCTGTTGTATTGTGCAAAGGCTATGCATGCAGCTTTGCCTTGCACCTTTGGGAAAGGTCTAAGCATCCACCAGATTCACCTTGTGCTTTATGTGAATCCCTTTGCAAATATGTTTGGCCCATTTTACCCTGAATCTTAATTCTGTCTAAGCTGTTCATATGTTGCTTAAGCTGCTTATATAAATGAAGATTCACTGTATGAAATGTAGTTATGAAGTGTAGGTTCTCAGTTATGGTGGACACACTTTTTACGTGCTTATTTTTATTGTAACATACAGATATGAAGACCCGAAAATGGAATTTTCTACTGCAGGACTACCTAAGGCTAAGTAAGAAGCTGCTCCTCCTCAGCATGCTTTGTTCTTTTGAGAGGGTTGCTGTGCACTCAAAACTATGTTTTTTAGAATATGTCTTTTCAATAAGATGTAGCAGAGATGGCCATGGTTTTTTCTTTCAGCGCTTCCCTTGCATTACCAAAGGGATAATGCTCACAGCTTTCCCTTACAGGGTGGCACTGGGATCCGCATTGCCCCACATTTTCAGTATAAAAAGCAGAAAAACCTCTTATTCTTGGCAGCCTAATCTTTGACTGTCTCCTACCTCCTATAGTAGTGGAGACAGCTGCATCTGTGAAAGCAGTAGGTTAATAATAGAACCACTACTGTAATCATATCACAGTAGTATTCAGAGTTAAGAAAGCTTCTAGCCTGTATGTCCTCTGCCCTTTTCTATGAAGGTCCAAAACAATGGGGAACTGTGCATTGCCCTGAAACAAGTCTGGTAACAGAGACATTATCTCCTTTTCCACAGCTTCAGACTGATTGCAACTTCTTGGACTAGAGGCAAGGAAATGGCAAAGAGGCCTTGAAAGATGCTTTTCTAGGGCACTCAAGTTGCTGAGCCCAAAGGATGGGCACATAGCACCAGGGTCCACACAAGTAACCCTGTAAAAGTATCTGTAATCAAGCTCATGGGTACAGTAAAGGAGGGACCAAATCCATCTCCTCACCCAAGCCCTGTTCTTTCTCCTGAACTGCTTATCTGCATAATTACTTCCAGGGTTTGGTACACATTGATCCAGGTGCTAGGCTGGGTTGGAAATGTATGCAGCACCCATTTGGGCAGGTGATTCTTCTATCTTTGCAGGGTATAAGTACAGAATTTGGATTCCTTCTGAGCTACATTGGTATGAATAGCTTGTGGTTATCTAATGTAGACTTCTACTCTGTCAACATTTCCCTTCTAAATGGATTCTATTTATCTGATCCTCTTAAGATAAAAGGTCATTTGGGGACAAGGGGAAAGAAAACACATTTGGATGAATCACTCAAGCTACTGAAACATCCTAATTTTCCAGGCTTGTCTGCAAAACTGTAATGATGGTGTAATTGCTGCAATTTGCTAGTTTATAATTCTAGCATGCAACTTTGTGTGCATAATAACAGTGTAGGGGCTCCACTCCAGCAGGCAAAAACTTCTTTCCTTGCTGGAAGAGCACAGATCAAACCAGAGGGTGCATATTGAATACCCTATCGTACAAGCACAAATAGAAATCCTTTCATATATTTATATACTCTCAGTATGAGGGATTTTGCCTGAGAAGCAGGGGTTTAATCTGCTTTCTTCACTCCAGAGATAACCAAAATTAAAACTGACAAGTCTGTAGTTTGCTCAAGCTCTTATAATGAATATAGTGAGTGCAAATTTGAGTTGCCAAGTAAGTGTTCACTGTCAGAATTATGTTCCAGTTTCTTGATTTCCTTATTATACTGGGTTTTTTTTTTTTCCTTTCAAAGAAAGGGCTGCTTGCAGGATTGTGAAGGAATTTTGTTTGAAGCTTCTAACATTTTACAGCAACATTTTGATTTCTGTGTCAAGAAAAACCTCCAGTTGGTGCTCATCTTAAAATGTTCATTGAACAGTTCTTAATCCAGAGCTGTCATATTCAGCGTTTTGGAGTGAATTATTTGGTCATTTTATTTTTAGAAGGAGATTGAGGCATGAACTAAGTATTTCAAAGTATCTAAACACTTGGAAAGTCTCACCATTTCCCATTCCCTTTCAAAAATTAATCTCAGAGAGCAATGCTGAAGAGCTAGAGACATGGGACACTCATTGGCTTTTAGGCTTATGCTTCAAATAATTGTATACTGAAATGCCAGCAAAATGTATTTGACATAGCTGCAGTTTGCATTCAGTTCAAGTAAACACTTTACGTGTTTTCTCAATGTTCTTTTAGCACTGAATGTGCAGGGGGTTGTTCAGGATAATTGCAAAATTTGATACCGTACATGGAATGAAACATTCTAGGAATCCTTGTAAACACATAATGTTTTTAGCCTTTAATAGGGTGAAGGTGGGCTTGCAACACTGTGGGCAATTTCTTACTGTGTGTGTACTTGTTGGTATGTGTCTCACTTAGCTCGGTACTCCTTGTTTTCATAAAGTTGTTATTAGGATGGGTGAGCTTTCTTGTTAATTAAAATGAAAGTCTTAGAATGATCAAATAGTCAAACACATAAAATAAAATGTTCTAAGAATAAGATAAGGTAAACAGGCACCCTCTTTGTGTGCTGAGTTCTGTCCATAAGTGAATGCTACTTACAAATGCACACCACCCTTCTTTGATGTGTTCCTTTCAGTTGAACTGGTCAGGAGCCTTCCAGAAATAGAGGTAGAGCCACTGCCTAAGCCAATAGTTCAAGCCTTTGCTGCTCAGTTCAAGACATCCGTCTCGAAGGCCGCAGACATCCCCCAGGTGGATCTTTCAGAAGTAGAACCTAAAGTTGTGGCAGCCCTCATGCCATTTCAGAGGGAAGGAGTGAAGTAAGTCAAATCAAAAGCTATCTAGAATAGCAAGTCCTTTGTGGAAAGAGTTGAGAAACTGGATGTTGTTGGCCCCTTCCCCACAATCTGGAACAGGTAACAGCCAAGATTGATCCAACAACAGGGAACTTCCATTTCATGACAAATGAAAGAAACACTGCAATAAGGCTGATAAGTAATGCATCCTTCCTGCTTTTACTAGGCCCTCATCCATTTTAGCAAAGGAGCATTGCCCCTCTCAGCAGCAAATGTATTGTAACTTACTACTGTTAATGATGTGATGATAATTGCCAGCTGTTTTTCCATTTCAGTTCCTTATGACTTCACTGGTCGCACTGCTTCATTCCTAACTCTGCCATAGGTGCTTTATATAAGCCTAAAATTCTCCATAATGTTCCATGTATATGATGAAGTGGGCTGTAGCCCATGAAAACTTATGCCAGAATTGGTTTGTCTTTAAGATGCCACAAGACTCTTCTTGTTGCAGTAGACTAATAGAGCAACCCTCTGAAAATTTGCAGGAAGCAGTGTCCTGTAGCACATAAGTTGCACTATACCAAATCTGGTTTATACAAAGGGGATCTTGGTTACTAGCTGTTCCTGCTAGCTCTTCTTTTTTCATGTAGGGAGAATTGAGTCTGCTGCTTTTCCTGCTTCATAAAGAATTATGAGAAACTGTTGTGTAACTGGGACCTTTAGGTTTTTGCTGGCTATGAGAGCTGAGCTCCCTTAGTTCAAACCCTGAACCAAGACCTAAAACAGTCATAGAAGCTTTATTTCTGCTTGCGTAGTCTTTATTCAGGACTTATATAGGAATCTGAGGCATATGAAATCAAAGGAGAAAGGTACATTTTTGAAACAATGTGAAAAAATGATCTTTTTGAGAGGAAGGGGAAGGCAGTGGTATAGGAATATATAAGAAATGAATTTATTTTGGAAATGACACTGATAATCCTTCAATCTCCTTTTCTCCCCCCTTACTCTTTGATCTTCAGCTTTGCCATCTCCAGAAAAGGGCGCTTACTGCTTGCAGATGACATGGGCTTAGGGAAAACTATCCAGGCAATCTGCATTGCTGCATATTATCGAAAAGAGTGGCCACTGCTGGTGATAGCCCCTTCCTCAGTGAGATATACATGGGCAGAGGTAATTATGCAATTTCACTGTTTCTTTCTAGTTGACTGTCTTGGTTAGTTTTTAAATTCCAAGAGAGCCAGCAGCATTCAGTGCAGGCAGAGACAAGGCAATGAGAACAGGAAGAAACAGCAATTTACTTGCAGTTGATAAAACTACTGGTTCTCTGTCTCCTTTTTTTGTTGCTGTTTGTTCTCTATTCCATTCTTTATTCCAAAAACAATGTAAGAATGGAGAACATGGAACTCAGAGCAACTCCTGTTTAGGGATGAAAATAAACTTGTGAAAGTAGATGGAAATTACTTGGTCCCTCAGAATATAGTCCTGAAGCCAGCCAAAGGCTGGCTTAGGTATTGGAGTCAGTGAAAATGCTGTATGATTAGTAAAAGGGCAGCCTTACCAGCAGGACAACAGTTATGCCACCAAAGACAAGCAGTTTGCCCACAGGAAGCTCCTTGGGGGTACATGATCCACTGCTGTGTTTTGCCCAGAGTTTGGGGGGATGTCAGGGGAGGATGCCTGTACTGTAGCAGATGGGGGAGAAAAACACCTTCCTCCCAAAAACAAGATAAAGCAACCCTACCTCCTTTTGCCTTGGCTGCAGCTGGCAGGGATTAGGAAGTGGTAAGAGGTTTGCCTCCAGATCTTCCCCTCCCCACAATCACATAGCACACCCCAGCTGCCTTACACACAGATGCTCACTGAATACAGAAGAGCACCCCCCCCCCCCACTTGCTCACAGGAATTTCTTTCGTATACCTGCCCTGGCCACTGCTTTGAGGGTTGTTTTTTGTCGACAGTATGGCTTGTAGAGATTAAGCAGATAAGTGCAGTGATTTGTAAGGTGGGGATTAAGGTAGGCCTTGATATTTTTAATAGGGAAGAACTTTGACTGACATGAGCCCCCAACTACAACCTGAAGTGGTACAGCGTGGGCAGGGATTGTAGCACTTTCATGAAAGTTAGACCTGTGGGAGGAACCGTCACAGGACAAGGGAATAGTTGTTCACTAAGATGTTTGCTTCCAGGGAAGAACCCACAGAATTGAGGCCCAACATTGGAGCACATTTTGTGTGGGGGGGCGGGGGTAGGGGTGGGAATGGTGTTGCAGATGCAGTGGTGACCTCAGTTCTCTAGATATGAAATTTGAAATAATAATGGCTGAGTTCAGGTCTGTGCTGTGGCGATGAATGTGATTAAGGAATTGCCAACTTTTAAAAAGGGCCATATAAATGATGATGAATGTGATTAAGGAATTGCCAACTTTTAAAAAGGGCCATATAAATGATGCCGACTATGTTTGCAAGGTTGCTATAATTGTTAGGTCATTCAGATGTGGCATATGTATTGTCTCTTTAGCTTATCTTTCTTTTTCTTCCTCTTTCTTCTGCTGCTTCAGGCTTTCTACAAGTGGCTTCCTTCCTTAAGCCCAGATACTGTCAGTGTCATAGCAACAAGCAAGGACTGCCTAACGGCAAGATTGATAAACATTGTCAGTTTTGACCTTCTCAGCAAGATGCAGAAGCAGCTAAAAACCACCTTCCAAGTTGTGATTGTTGTAAGTAGGGCAACCTATTGGGGAGAGGTGACACAGATTGTGGTGGGCCAGTCAAAGGCAGAGATGTGTTCTTCATTATCATTATACAGCCTCATGGAATTAAGAGCTGTTATTCTGGATAATTTGTACATAAAGCTTGTCCAAACTAAATGCATGGCAGTCTTTGGGTCATGTACTACTATTTGCATAGTGAGGCTTTAGAAATGGCTATTCCTCTAATGTTTTGATGACTCTCTCCCAGTTAATTAGCATTTCTGTTTACAATGCAGCAGAATTTTCCTTTCCAATGCATTGTTCAGAAAAGCAATCAGTTTGGAGAACTTATATGGAAATATGGAAGTTCTTGTCTATTGAGCTGCAGTGGAGGGAGGATGAGTAAGAGGTCTGCTGTTGTATTACTGATCCTTACATATTAAGGAATGTTGAATTGGCCTTTCAGGACCATGAGACAGGCATAGAAATCCTGCCTTCAAACCTTGTGATTTTGGTGCTGTTTTACAGTCCTGAAGGGCAACTTACTACTCATGGCAAGTTTGTATTTGTGGTGTGTGTTTGTGGCATTTTAAGGCAGGGCATCACTATTTTTTCTCATGGCAGCAATGTGGTTCTAAGAAGTGTTTTTATTTTTTGTGGATGGAATTTGTACATCGGATTTATGCATGTTGAGTTGCTGGAATTATCAGTGCCTTGGTAATTTTAAACTATGCTTCTTCACCTTTATGAGAATGAATAGTGGAGAGTGTTGGGTCTGTGTGCTTCCCTGTCTATCTTTGTGGTACAGTAAGAACAGAAACTTCCATCTTTAGTTTTGAATAAGTCACAACTTTATATTTTGCCCAAATTCAAGATTCTGTGGTATATTTTAAGTATGGTTACTTAAGCCAAATTAGGATCAAGCTTTAGTTTCAGATCCTGGTTTGCTAACTGACTGTACTTAGAGCAAATCAGTTTCCTGAACTCAAGAAAATTTATGTTGTTCAAAACCAAAAGGGGAAGCTTACAATCTTTTCCCTTTGTGTACAAGGTAAGGTGCTGGGAGTTTGGAAAGCATACAGGACTGAGGCTCATTGGTTATTCACATATCACTAAATTACACTTTAGCATTAAGTCTGAACAGCACCAGTATAGCCACTTTTCTTTAAACTTGCTCTAAAATCCCAGTTTTTAATTTTTTGCAAAGGTCCTTTGTTGGCATCATGGCTCACATTTCTGACACTCCAGCTCTCTACATATACTTGTAGGCAAATCTTCCTGATCTCAGCAGAAACTCACTTTCAAGTAAACGTGTTCTGGGTCACAGCCAGATGTCTTCTGCACAGTTGAGTGCACCTGATATAGATGCTCGAGTACCTGGATCAATTAAGGTCCTGAATCCAAGAAGCCTATTAGATATGATCCTCACTGATAAAAAAGTACCTATCAGTTATGTTACCCTTTACTCTGTTAGGTTACCTTTTGCTCCTTGACAAAAGTTTTGCACCAGTGGGTAATGCCCTTTAAGGCAGTTAGAAATGAAACTGTGCAGTTCAACACTTGGACAGTTCAACTGTCCATTTGTTGTTGTTGTCTACAAAGTAGTTGGCATATGAAGTCTAGTAGTGCTTGCCAGGAATATTCCTACAGAGAGTATTCATGTAGACAGTGTGGTATAGTGGTTAAAGTGTAATGCTAGGACTGGGGAAAGCAGTTCAGATCCCCACTCAGTTGAGAAACTAACTGGATAGGTTGGGGCCAGTCACAATCTTGCAACCTAATCCAATTTGGTACCTTGCAAATGTTTTGGATTCTAATTTCCATCAGCCCCAGCCAGCATGTTCGGAGATCAGGAATACTGGAACTTGCTGCTCAAAACATACACAGGGTACCAGGTTGGGAAAGACTGGCCTAACTGATCTCAAAAACTTTTTGTGGGGATAAAAAATGGGTAAAGTGGCATTAGTGGAGGGACCAGATCAGGTTGTGCAAAGAGAGGATAACATCATGTTGTTATAAGCAATGCCAACTCTAGATTTTTGAGAGCTTTTGAGGCCAGGCACCTCCATGAGCTCTGTTTTTCTATGAGTTTAGCTTCTTACTTCCATTAGCACTGGATGCTGTTGCTTCTTGCCCACTTTCTCATTATTTCTTCCACTTCTTAAGTAACAGGAGGAGGGCTAGTGCTTCCCTTCTCATGGCTACTATCGTCTGGGCCAGAGTCAGAGTTGAATGGAGAAGAAAGTCCAGAGAACCTTTATCAGTGGCCCTTGGCAGATGCTCAGTCTTGTCTATTCTTCATGCCCCCCTCCCCCATTTTAGGAGGTCCTTAAGTTTCTTTTTGTGTATGGGCCTTAGCAAGTATCTATTTCTCGATTACTTCATGTAGTATGTCTGCTTAGTACTGGCAAGTATAGACTGCACTTGGATGTAACAGTAAACCATAGTTTAGTGCATAATTAGGAGCAGCCTGTTGTCTTTATTTTTATCGGTTTAATGAATTTCTATACTGTTTAACAGCCAAAGCTTTTACTCACATCAGCCATGAACATGGGGTGAGCAAAGGATTAGAGTTTCAACCAGGCTAAGCTCAAATAGAGCTTATTTAGTGCTCACACAATATCTTGACTTCCAAACAAAAATCATAGAAATGCAAGTAAAGGTCATGGCCAACTTGTAGGCCAGAACATCTGGAGGGCTGCATATTGCCCACCCCTAGCTTAGCACTGCATGAATAAACATTGGAATTGTGTCCTCCTCGCATCTCCCAACTAAATTAGGCTTTCTGCAGAGATCTGTGACCGAATTCCCTGCATTTTATATTTTTATTCATTTGTGTGTTTGTAATGTACATATACATATACATTTTAAAATGTAATAGGGAAGCTGTGAATTTCCCTGGAGCAACAGTGTAGGGAATGTGGGGGAAGGTGAAGTTTCACTCCTCTGCCCATGGTGCCTTTTTTCCAACCACAGTAGTTCTGAGATGCTATTTGTCCTACTGCGGAGAAATACACCTGTGGGTATGTGTGTAACTTCAAATGAGAAAATGATGTGGAGGACCACCCCCTGCCCCCACCATCCATGCCATCTCTCCAATGCAATTAGCCGGCTGTCCCCTCAACATCCCCACCTTTTGCAACTATGTATGATTTTTTTTTTAAATGGGGCAGACTGTAAATACAGGGCTTGGGCGTCATGCTTGCTGTCTGTATTAGAGGATTCAGATCCTGTGTTTCCAATCAAATAGCCCCACAGGGTGTTCTGGTTCCTCATGTCTCTCCTCAGTCCTCTCTCCGTTGGGGACTGTTATTAGCATAACCTTATTGCCAACCAAGATTGGGAAAGCAGTATCTTACCGTTGAAGGGTGTATATTATTCTCTCTGTGCATGGCTGCTTGCTCGACCAGATGCAGCAAGATGAGCACATTCCCTGGGAGGGTGCCAATTTCCTCAGTGTCCTGAAGCTCAGCCTTGCAACAGCAATGGAAAGGGAGTTCATTGCAGGAGAGGATGTCTCAAATGGTATGTTATTACCTACCTGGTGAGCCTTTAACAGCAAAGCAGTTGGTTCCTAATTAGATTTCCTTCTTTCTGATGTGTTTCATTAACCCCTTCATTGAGGAGGGGGGAATCAGTGCAGCATGAAACTGGCAAGGATCTGCATTTGAGAAGAGGATGTGCAATGAAACAAATATCAACGGGGAAAATTGTTTTTCTTCCTCTCCCTTGACTGACCTGGCTGCAATTGTTGATCAAAAAATACAATCTTCTTATCTTTCTCAGTAACGTCCGAACAATCCCAGCCTGTTATGTAGGTTTTTGCACCCAGAATGTTGCGGTGCCCATTGAGTCATGTTCCTGTGTTTTTAAAAACTTACCTAAAGTAGTAATACACACAAAATACCATGGCTGTTTCGTTGCCTGTAGATTGCTTGGTTGTGGCTCACAATCTCTTTCTCTCTCTGCTTTTTCCTATTTCAGGATGAATCTCATTTTCTTAAGAATGGGAAAACTGCTCGATGTCGGGCTGCATTGCCTCTCCTGAAGGTACAGTTTTCAAAATGGGGTCTTTGACTGTGTGTAACACAAGAGTGATGGAAAGCTTATTGGAAAGCTCAGAGAATTTTGCTAGACCCTGCAGTGATATACTGATAAAGGCCACACGGAGTGTCATAATGAAATGGTCTCTGATCTAAAGTCTCTCCTCATCAAGCCATGCTGGTGTGACTGTAGGCAGTACAGAAGGATTCTGATGTCAGAGGAGATAAAACACTTTATAGTACAGGCAATCCCTGAGTTATGAGTGGCTAAGTTATGAACAGCCCACACTTATGAAGGAACTGCCATAAAACCCATTATTATTATTATTGTTGTTGTTGTTGTTGTTGTTGTTGTTGTTGTTTAAATTACTGCAAAAATCATCATCACGACAGAGAGAGAGAGGAAGTGAAAGGGGAGAGAGGGAGGCCTCCAAAGCAGGCCTCCCTGTGCCCCTCTCCCTCCAAAGAAGGAAATCTTTCTGGCATGTCCCTGCTGCAAAGAGGAGGCACTGGTGAGTTTGGGCGGGTAGGTGGCCTAGAGATATTCATGGTTTTTCCACTTCATGGGAGTCCTGCATCTTTAACTCCCATGAATGTGGAGGGTTGACTATACCCGATCTGACTTGCATACAAATTCAACTAAAAGATTACTTTCTGTTTTCTGAGGAACAAAACTTGTTTGTAACCTGGGGCCCTGCCTGTACTTTTATTAGCCTGTACTGTGCTCTTGTCATGGACTATGTAAATCATCCAGAGAGCTTCAGCTGTTAGGAGATACAGAAATGAAATGAAATATACAAATAAGTGTAAACAGCAATCAGTATTTCTCCTGATTCCCAATTGATTGATGTGCTGCTCCATTAAGATAGAAGATTGTTAACTAAAGGCAACCCATGTCAAGTGTTTGTTTAGTTGTTTTTCTTTGCAAATGAGACTTAATTGCAGAGGGGAGTATTCTGCTTGAAGTGTCTGAGTTGGGAAGGCCATAGGGGCTTGAATTTGGTGTGATGTTTTTGTGATTGACACTTGCAGATATGACAATATATTCTGATAAATAGATGAGCAAAAATGTTAATTTCATCAATGTGGCATAGCAGTTAAAATTCTGCTATGCTTTGTGCATGATTAGGGTCTTTTTGCACAGTCAGCACACTGTTTGCTCCGTTTGTTTTGTTTGGTCTATCATCAGGGATGTTGTTGTACAGTAAATGCACATTTGTTGTGAAAAACACTCAGTGCAGAAGTTTTGCTTTTGTCTTAGGGATATTAAAACTTGTGTTATTTCCTAAACTGACAGAGGGTGAGCCTCCTCCAGACTGTGCACCTGTCCCATTCTGAATGCTTTGTGGAAAGCCATTGTGATTGATGTCATGAATAGGTCTATGATGAACTGCACAGCTCCTTCCTCCGTGCTATATTGGTTTTGCACTAACTGCTTGTTTGTTTATTGCCTGCACGTCCCTTGTTGTGCAAGGAACCATCTTAGTACACAATGGAGACTTTAGGAGCAGTGCGGGTAGCTCTTCAGTCCCCCTGTGTTGCGGCTGGTATTTCATGGTACTGGTAGCATATTTGCTAAGAGAATTGCGCAAAGGTCTTATGTTGAGCTTATGTTATTTTGTCATGCAGAATGGCCATTACAGATGCACAATCTTTGTGATTATCTGCAACCATTTTGAGAATTTTATCTAAAATGGTATTCCTTGCACTAATTGCAAGCAAGTTCAATTGCAACCTTTGCTGTTTGCCCTAATTCCCTTCTTTCCTCTCCTTACTATTCTTTCTTGCTGGTAGAGCTGAGCTGGGCTAGTGTTATGTGACTGAGGGGGTGTGTCCTACCTGCTCTTTGAACAGGACTTGGTAAGAACATAAGATGACCCCAGGTGGATTGGAAGAAAGCTCACCAGCTCCAGCTGTTTCCAGGTGTGGTCAGCTAGGTGTTTCCTGAATAATAGCCTTCTTCTATGGTTTGCCCTTCACATCTGACAATCAGAAGTACACTCTCTTAGAACATGGAGATTTCATTTAGATATCAGGGCAGGTTTCATAGACCTGTCCTCTATGCTTCAACCCCCATGAGCATATGAAGTCTCCCTATTCCAGGGCACTGAACTTTCAGCTGAAGAGGTGAATAGTGCTTCACAGAAGCTCTCAGGAGTTGGATTGAAGTGGTGGCCAGAGCCAAAGAGCTGGGCCAAAAATACGACCATCTTTACTTAAAATCTTGCTGTCAGTAACTAAGCCTTAGGAGAGACATTTCAGCTTTTTAGAATGGGTGGAAAGGTGTATAGAAGCCAGGAAACCATGAAACTGACAGTGGTCAGAGAAAGGCGACAGGGCCATGGCCCTCTGTGGAGCCCCCAGCATGCAAGATTTGGCCCCCAAGCCTGAGGTTCTGCACCTGTATGCTTGCCTAGTCCAGACTAGTTCTATCTACTTTGAAAGCAGGTTTCCAATATTCCCAATCTGTGATACTTGAGAATCTTGTAATGAAAACATAGTTTCTACTAATGAGCTACAGCTATTACTTAGCAATAGTGCTAAAGTGGCAGTTCCCGTTGCTGTGGCTAAGTAGAGAAGATCCGTTTCTAGTGCAGGAGCAGGGTGGGCCAGGTGCTGGGCCCTTTTGCCATCTCTTTGATGGGCACATTGTAGCCAAGTAAATGCTGTATTGTCACCACCCAACAGAGCACATGATAGGGTTCTCTTGCATACACTAATCCAATTTTCATGGTCCCTTTAAAAAGAGGTCATCAATCTGCCATAGTATTCTCTTATTAGATTATTTGAATGCCAATGCTCATGGCCTCTTTCAGGACATTGCCCGTTTCAGAGCTTTACAGACTTTTTGTTTCTTTAAGTAGTAGTCCAGTTGTTGCTTGCAGAAACATGACAAAATAAAAAATAAAGGCAAATGAGTGTACAAGAAATGAGACACGTCTATACTTATCTTGACACCAGACAGCCAGCTGGGATATACCTGATGAGCTTTTAATCTCATTCCTTTCCCACCACCTAGTTGTGGTGAATGCTGAACATGTTGTCCCATGTGTGTTGGACAGAAACAAGTGCTATCACTCACAGCATTCCACCATCTGGCCGTGCTGGCTAGGGAATGCTAGGAGCTATGGTACCTGTTTTCTGTCTAAAAATGCATGTTTCCTATCACTTTAGCTTCACTTAATAGCAGCATGTATAAAATAAGTTCAAAAAATATAATAGTACAGAGTTGAGCATTTAAATGCTTTTCTGAATAAAATCAAGGCAAATACATAATTGTTAATTATTCCAAAGTGTCTGAAACATTGAGATATTAACTGCTGTGGGATATTAATGCATCCCAGGTTACAGATTCAGTTTCCAAGTAATGTGTTCAAGTGAAGCTGCCTTGAAGAATAATGATCTGTCTTTATTTGCTATAAATATTGATATGTCAGTAGCTATCAATTAAGTTGATTTATTCTGAGGCTAATAGTTACTCTTCCATGAGTATTTAATATAGATCTCAGAAGTATGATTTTCTGGTTTGTAATGTGAAAATCCTTAAGCTGGCTTGAATGAAGGATATATAATCAATAATGGATTAATAAAGAGCCTCTAAGCTTCATATCATTCTGAAATTCTGTTGAAGACTAGATTTGAATATTGTATTTTGGTGTGGGGGGGGGGGAAGTAGGCATCATTAGAATATTAAAAGCTTTTCCTTAATCTTTTATATCATTTAGGCATTGATGGCTTCTTAAGATAAAGTGGCATTTTTTACAATCCATTTTTTGCTTTCGAATATAAATTGCTGAGGAAATGACCTTAGGGCACTGATGTATGGAATCTTCAAGTAGGCCCATGTATAAAACATGGGGCTAAAGCCTGAAATTCCATGAGTTTCAAAAGTAATTATTCATAGAAATGTTCCCTGTGTCTCCAGTGTGGTACCCTAAATCCTGCAGGGAAAGTTGTTATTGCTCTGTTAGCTTGAGACTGCATGCGTAGGAGTTAAGAACCTATAATTTGGTCAAGAAATACCATCTCCAAAACTTCCAAATTATCCTGATTAGTTCTGAGTGGACTCTTAGCCCCTGGAGTTCCTTGGGACTGCAGCTTTCTATAGTTGTGTCCTGGGAGCAGCCTCCATCCTAAGACGTACAAATAGGCAGAGCAGTTCTGCCAACTCTGTTTTCATGGACATAGCTTCCAGATCTCCAGTCCTAGCTGGCATAGCCAGTAGTGAGGGTTGATGGGAGCTACAGGCCAAAAGATCTGGTGAGCCACAAATTGTCCATGACCTTTACCAGCATTTGTATTTTGATGGGGAAGCCTTGTAAGTCAAGACAATACTGTGTAAGCTCTGTTTAAGTTCTGTGTGGGCTAACCGTACACTCCTACACCCCACCCCATGTTCATGGTCGGAAGGGGTTAGAATCATATGATGGTCCACTTGGCCTCTGTTAATGGACAGGAATGTTGTGGTGGGGGTGGGCATCATTGTAGTGGAAGCCCCCACTACATTCAGGTGGGGGTTCTGGCAGTTTTTCTGCTGGTGCTAGCAGGCAGACCCCAAATGGAGAGTTCCGTGGGCTGGACAGTTGTGTGAAGGATCTGGCAAGGTTAGAAGATCCTCACCTCACTGGTCTCCACTGATCCTACTTAGGATTACCTCGTAAAATCCTTGCTTCCCCACATGTGTAGCAGCTAAACCTAGTCCTCGCTGAAGTTGTCAAGCTGTGTGCAGCCTGAATACACCTGTGTATACCTGTGTATCAGGAGGAAGTTTCCTGTTGCATGATGACAGATTGCAATGTGGACACTTGCTGCCTCTTTAAAAGCTCTGAAATAGAAAACGGCTAAGTGTTGAATGTGTCCGCTTGTTAGGTGTGCTGTCATATGAGCCTTGATTCTGTAGCCTGGAGTGGTACAGCCCAGATACAGGTTGACTGCCTCAGTGAGAACTAGGCCAGAGCTAGTCATGTGTTGCTATTTTGTTGAGGGACCCACTTAATGATGTGTTTTATGAGAGCAAATTATGAGAGCAAACGTTATCTGAAACCCTAATTTGGGTATAAAAGCATGTATACCCAATTCCTAATACTTTGCAAACACACTAAGCTGCTAGCGAAAGGCATATTTACTCGGTCTACTTTGGGTATCTTGTAGGTGTCCTATTAATGGCTTTGTGTCTACAGTGGACTGTGCAGAGCTGAAGCCGCTCTGGCATGTCATTCCACAACAGAGGCTCCAGATTCATATAGTTTGTCTTACAGAAAAAATATTTGCTTTTGGGAACGTACAGATCTCTTGCCTCAAGACGCTGTGCTGCTAAGGGATTCTTCACATATTATGGATAATGCAGGTTCATACTATGGATAATGCAGGTTTTGCCTCGTTTTGCTCCTCTCTTAATGCTTGAAGGGAAAACAGAATGTTTGACATGCTGTTCAAGTTCCTATAGCAAATGCATTGGTCCCATTTGTTCTTCCCAGTATTTATTTTTCCAAAGCTGATTTCTTGACTATCTCCCTTATGTAACTTCTATCATAAAGCAGAATGTGGTCTCAGTGAGGCATGGATTAAGATCGGAAGACGTTTTGGCTGTTGCTTTCCATCATTGTTATGTGGGTTGGCTTCTTCGTCAGAGAGCCATCATAGATAAGGATTGTGAGCTTAATGGACAGAGATCCTTTTAAAATGCACTGGGTGTGCAGGACAAAACTCGCATGAAGATGGTGAGCCTTGGAGCAGGACTGGCTATGGTGTGGTGTACTGGTGCAGTGTACTGGTGCAACTTTCAGTACATCCAGGCTAAAATTCAGCAGATGTGGTTATCCTTCACTGTAGGAAGCTGCATTGGTTGAATTTGTCTTTTTCAGAGCTTTTAAAGCAGCGGGAGCCTGGGAATATGGTAAATGTGCCTTGTGGAATCACTTCTGCTAATGATGTTATGAAGCTGTATTAAGCTGCACTGGTTCACCATTGGGAAATACAAGTAGCATGAATGCATCTCTTTTATATGTTGCTTTTAAGCAAAATAAATAAAATGTCTAGAAACAGGGATGCTGGAAACCTAGTACATGTAGTTTTTCTGAGTGTAGAAGGAATCCTTTTCATTATAGTGGCTAAATAAGATAAGTTGGATATCTTTTTTTTTAAAGTGGCCTTTATGTGGGATTATTTTGCTTTAGAGAAAGAAATGTAGTTGTAAAAAACTTCTAGTCCTCAAGTTAGTTTTCCCATTTCTTTTGTATGTTTAAAAACTTGCAGTACCCTTGTTTTCCTAAAGCTGGAAGGACTGCTGACATTTAAAGTAAAATCATTTTGGACTAGTTCACTTCTGGATGTAATTTAAGTGCCCTGAGGTGGTCACAATGGATATATATTTAAGTTATTTAGATACTAAAATTAAGACTTATTCCAGTGTAATAATGGCCATGAGTTACAGTGCTGTTTTGAGATTGAAATAGCATTTCTAAAACTTACAGAAACTGTCTCCCCACTGGTCCCAGTTCTTTCTCTCACAGAAAGAAAAGGCTTCTGCATTGAAATTACCATCAGATATTTCCATTTTGTGTCAGGCAGGGCAACACACACTTTAAATGTTAAACAGCTGACAAGGGCAGAATCAGAAGGAATTGGGAGGATAGTTATAATTGTATATCCAGCATGATGTGCATTTAAATAATAGCCATCATGCCAAGCAAGTCAGACAGCACACTGCAGGCCACCTGCTGTGAAAATCATTTTAAAACCCAGGAAATCATTTGTATGAGAATAAGGCACTTTTGCATGTTCAATGAATTTTATTTTCTGGTGTGTTCCTAGCCATCCTTCTGCACTTTGAAGCTCTTGGATATCCAGTGGAGAGACCAGAGTATTGTATCATTGGCTCTGCATTTGAATGTGCATATAATTTCTGAATTTCTCTTTTGGAAGCAACTTCTCTGTCTTTTCTGTTGCCCTCATCATGAATTGTGCCACTGGTGCTCACAGCAGCAGCGTCACCGCTGTCAGTAGCATTGCCCTGCAAGACAGCATTGTATCCCTTGAGATTCCAATTAAGATTATTTTAATATTTCAGTGGCCATTCAGTCCAGCATCCATTACTGACAGGCACAGAGCCTGTGATCTGTTTTGTATGATCACCCATGGCTGACTGTGACTTCCTAGCCACAGTGGGTTGCAGCATCGGTGAGCACCAAGTTATCAGTCCGTGGTATTGTGTTCTGTTCAAGACTGGCAGGAGTGGGTAGCTGGAGTGGTGAACTAGCCACTCAGAACTTGTGGGACATTCTAGGGTCATTGGTGGCTTGCCAAGCACCCCAGCAACTCCCCTTTGTCACAAGAAGGGATGGCAAGGTCCCCAGTACATCTCAAATCTTCAACTGGTGGCTGCTGCTGCTGTGATGACAAACCCTGCAGGAAATTCACCTGCGGTGGCTTCTCACTTCATCCAAGCTAGGCCAGGTAAGAGTGGTTTGCTTCAGCTCCCCTAATGGAACCTTCCTCAGCCTAGTGCCCTCCAGATGTTCTGGGCTTCAGCTCCGATCATCCCCAGCCAGCATGGCCAGTGGCCAGGAATCTAGGAGTTGTCATCCAAAACATTTGGAGGGCACCAGGTCAGGCAGGTTTGTCCTAATGAGTTGCCAGCAGAGGTGAGACCCATTGGTGCGCAGCTCACTTTCCTTCCGCACAGCGCTCTGTTAGCTCTGCTCATCAGTAGCACATCAAAACGTTTTGGAATCAGAATTGTTTTTACTTGTCCGGTTGGGTTGGTCACCATGTAATTAACCTTCTACAACCCTTATACCCCTTTAGGCTGCCAAACGAGTAATCTTGCTGTCCGGGACCCCTGCCATGTCCCGCCCTGCAGAGCTGTATACGCAAATTGCTGCCATCAGACCGTCCTTCTTCCCTCAGTTCCATGCTTTTGGACTCCGCTATTGTGATGCTAAGCAGGTAATTTGGACATGGGGACCTATGGAGCAACAAGACTAGAAAGTAGGATATAAGATTTTAGGTTTAGTTTGTATCTTCTTCCCTATCTTTTGGGAGTTGGAGCAAAAGAGAATTAACTATACCTCACCCACTCCCCTAAGAATCTTCAGCAATCTGTATGTATAGCTAATAATGAATATTCATTTATTTATTTGTAGCATCCAGCAATGTCCCCCAGTAGTAAGATAAAAACATCAACAATGTAGCCATATTAAAACATTAAAATAGCATTAAAACGACTTGAAGCAAGTTTAAAAGCCCAGTGGAAAGGATATGTTTCCACTGCTTCTCAAAATGCTGAGGCAGTAGGGACCAGTCTTAACTCTTATGGGAGATGAGTTTATGGTTTCAGAGCAATGTAGTAGCAGCTTTTACACCATCTGCAAGCAATGATGCCCTCAAAAGGGGATTCTCCTGAAGGATAGAACTGCCTCAAGGTGCTCAAAAGGATGGTTAAAAATTGTTCTGGGATCCATTAAGAGAGAAATAAAGCTGGAATATTCTTAATATAAATAGTACTGTTTTGGTTAAACAATACCCCTTCCCAAACCTGAATCCCTCTATTTGAAAAATGCTGCACTTCAAATCATGGCAGAAAGTAACAAATTTCTTGCAAATGCAATAAGCAAAGATAAAGAATTAAATTATTCATTTACAATCCAACTCCTTGGCACTTCTGCCTCATAAAAGAAGTGCAACAAATGAAATGTCACCTGTTTGTTCATGATCTAAATTTTGTGCAAACTCCCCCAAAATTCTCTGGAGCTGTTTTTCAAAGTAGTTGCTGTTATTTGTGGGCATTAAAAGATGGAAGAATGGACTTGGATTGTAGCAGATGCTTACATGGGAAAGGTTCAGGAACTTTCCTTACATTACATTCTTACATTACATTAAGAATGTAATGAAGTAACTTCTTCAACCAAGACCATGTGCAATTCAGAAAAAAGCAGCTTCTTGGCTTTGATGTGTGATAACCTAGGGAGGGATTGGCAGGTTTCAGGCTTGTGGGATTTACTTTGCTTTTTTACTGGGGTTCTGAGGTCTACTGGGATGATCTGTGACTCAGTGGTAGAACACAAGTTTTGTATGCAGATGGTTTCAGCTCCAAGCTCCAGTTTCTTCAGGGAGGACTGAAGGGACTTCTCTAGCCAGTGGCTTCCAGGCAGTGTCAACAATATTTGGCAAGATGGACCAAGGGCCTGATACATGATAGGGTAGCTTTCTATATTCTTAACAAAACTCATAACAAAACTAAGGTGGCTTAGGCAGGCAGAAATGCACAAAGAAGGAAGGAACAAGCTGCCACTGAGAACATGTTCAGCTCTGGGATTTGTAATTGGTACCAAAGCACAAGCAATTCTGTGCCTGGATTGTTTTTCGGCAACCTAATTTAGAGAAGCAAAAGGATTCAAGGTGTTACCGGTGTAGGACAGTTGGGAATCAGAAAACCTTGCTGATCCACTGCAAATCACCCCATGATCTCTGGGTCCTAATCTACCTTCCACCCATCCTTGCCCCAGGGATCCAAGTCATCAGTGTGTTTCAACAGGTGCAGCTTTATGAGGCTATGGAATTTTGCTGATAGACTGGTTAGACTTTGAGGCTCTGAATAGGCTGCAGTTGTGTGGGTGTGCAGAAAAGCACAGAATGTGCTACTGGGCACAGAATTAAATTCTCTGAGAAGCTCAAGTTTCATTAAAAAGCAAATCATTATTGCTTTGAAGGTGCCCTTGAAAATACGTGGGCCAGAAAGGTGAGTGAACCAGTGTTTGGACTGAGGCTTCAGTGTCCTACATAGCTCCTGGCCCTTTCCTGTGATTTTAATGGTTTAAAAAGTACAGAATGACTAGGAAAATGGATACGAAAAAGGTATACTTTATACAGGTCACAGAATTAATCTTTTTTGGTGTAGTACTTGGATCACCTGAATGCCAAATGTAAGGCAAGTATGTTCTTGATTTGCCAAGGTTATTGCTCATATCTGTAATTCTTGGAATGTTAAATGTATTTAAGTTCCATTGCAACAGACAGTTGAATAAAAGGGTCTTTGCTGGTATCTCTAATAAGCATAGCTCTTGCAGTGGCTTTAATGATGTGTTAATGACAATGTAACCGTTGATACTCCCTGTTATATGTTGATTTCAGAGTCCTTGGGGATGGGATTATTCTGGATCATCCAACCTTGGTGAGCTGAAACTCTTGCTTGAAGAATCAATTATGATCCGCCGCCTGAAATCCGATGTGCTTTCCCAGCTTCCTGCAAAGCAGCGCAAAGTGGTGGTGGTAGCTTCCGAAGGCATGAATGCAAGAACCAAAGCCGCGTTGAAAGCAGCTGCAAAAGAAATGGCAAAGGGTTATAAGAGCGTGAGTTGAACAAGAACATGGGTGCATGCAATTTGTAAAGTCAATTGCCTGGGCCTACCATGGTCTGTGAGTGGTTGCTGACGCAGAGTATCAAACCACAGTTTGTGCTGTGACTTGCTGCTATATCTGAACCCAACGAATTGACTGAACCACAGTTATACATGTCATTCCAGCTCAAAGGCTACTACGCCATGAAGACTGCTGTGAGTTTAAGAATTCTTAATCTTAAACCGGGTGCTGAGACTGTCACGTCTAAACTGTGCTTTGCCTTTTGTGTGTTTGGAAGCTCAAACTTCTTAATTAGGGTTAGCACAAACCAAGGGTTGGTGTGATGTTGTAACTGAACCACCATCTCCATGGCTGTAGTTTCAGTGCACAGGAAAGTGTGGTTTTGTCCACACGGCTTTGCTACAAGACTGCTGGTTGGCCAGAACTACTTTGGCATTAGTGCTTCATGTGCAGTCTTTATGTGTGACTTCTCTGTCTGAGCACAGATGGGTCTTCAGGGGAGAGGTAGGGAGGAGGAATCTACTCTGGATATACTGGAAGTAATGCCAGTTAAGCCCTTGTGCAAGGCAGATTGCAAATATCTCAGGGCAAAACTTGTGTGTCCCACAGTAGGCTCTTCCAGAAACTGGGCTGAGGCCATTAGGTTAGAGACATTTCAAACATTATGCAAAAACAAGTCTGGGTTTGCCATTGTAGCTGAGCTAATCACTGCTCAGTGATGGATCACCTTTAGTTTGATAGATGTGTTTGCCACCTTGATATGTGACATTTTATTTAGTGGTCTACACAGTATACAGTAGCTCTTTGCTACATTTGAAATTAAATGATTTATCAGGGAGTGTTTAACCATAGAAAAAATTCTCCTTTGTTTTAACCCTTTTTCAAATTCCCAGCCTGTTCTGTTCTGTTCTGTTTTCCATGTGGAAAACAATCCCTGGAATTTCCAGGTAGGACTGGAAAATATATGGAAAATAGGAAACATGGAAACGTATTTAGGGACAATAAGAAAAGGGATCTGGGAGTTACTATCCTAGCTAATGGCAGCTAACTACTTCTGTCCATCACACTGTGGTTCCTGGTGGGATTTCACAGGTTTTCTTATAAGTACAGTAAAACCTTGGATTGCTAGCATAATTCATTCCAGAAACATGCTTGCAATCCAAAGCACTTATATATCAAAGTGAATTTCCCCATAAGGTTCAATGTAAATAAGGTTAATCCGTGCTGTAACTTTTATTTTTTAATCACAAAAATTTGAAGCGGGGGTGGATGGGCGTGATTGTGGGAGCGCTCAGTGGGGGGGGAGGCGAGCACGATTGCAGACACGCTTGGGTGGGAGGAGACATTGCTGTACTCAAACCCGCAGCGAGAGAGAGAAGAACCAGCACTCAGTGGTGACGTGACGCTCGGCAGGCAAAGCGCATGTAATACTCGTACTGCAAGACATCGCTCATTTATCAGGTTAAAATTTAGAAAAATTGTTTGCTCGTCTTGCAGACCAAGTTACTTGCAATCCAAGGTTTTACTGTATTAGAAGACTTTACAAAAGCTGCCAGGTTTTGGGGAAGAGAATTTGAGCGTATAGATTCCATAGAGCTGTGCCTTTTTTCTCTTAAAGGACAGTGTTCTATACCTTTCCTGGTACTGGACCTGGTGGCGGCAACATACATTTTGAAGCTAGCTGCACCTAAAAGGAGAATAAGTCAGGGTGATATTTAATTTCTATTAGATTGATAGGCATATGCAGACTCAAAAGTTCTTCACAAGTGAAAAATGATCCAATAACAAGATATTGTGTTAGTCTATCTTATCATCTGAACTACTATCAACAATTATCCAGGCATCACTGATGGGTTTTTCAATTATTTGTTTGCAGAAGCAAGAAGAGAAGGAAGCTCTCATTCTTTTTTACAATAGGACTGCAGAAGCCAAAATCCACTGTATTATGTAAGTTGGTGTTTTGAGTAGAATGTAAGCAACATGACCAGACAACCCTTATTATGGTGGAAAGGATATGGCAAACACAGATTGCAGCAACATCAAACATATTAATTGAAACACTTGTGGGACAATACTATTTATGTTTAAACTGAAAAAACGTTCTGCAACTCCCAGCTTGTCCCAGACAGCCATAGGATTGGATCTTTTAAGCGTTTTAGTAGTGACCCCTATATTAAACCAGCCTGGTAACTCTATTTTAGATGTCCTTAGTGTGAGATGTTAAAATTAGTATCTTAAATGTACTTGACATGCTGAAGACTGAGATGATGTTTTGCTGAAAATTAATTGTTCTCTTTTTTATTGAGAATTTCTGAATCACTTGGTGATGAACACATCTTCAATAGAAAATTAATAATCATCATAATGGGGTGTTCATTTTGACTTGCAATATTTTTTACACTTATGAAAAGACCTGGAAAATGGTTTTCTACTTTGTATAACTCAAGTGTATGCAAGTAGTAGCTCCCAGGAACTGGTGATTTGCTGGAATAGCTCATTTTCTAAATAAAACGAGAAGATAAGAACAACTGATATAGCATTGAATATGCTTCCAAAACAACAGTCACATCTGTATCTGCATTTTCTTTCCTCTTTTTAAAATATAGAGAATACATCCTAGAATTATTGGAAAGTGGAAGAGAAAAATTTCTGGTATTTGCTCATCACAAACTAATTCTAGATGCAATCACTGAGGAACTGGAGAAAAAGGTAAATGACTTGATAAATTTGTGATTACATCTTGTCCTGGGCTTTGAAAACCCAGTTAGTTCTTATATCATTGACATATTGGGCTGGTTGGCATGACTTAACAGCCCGCTGTGGATTATTTATGCCTCAGTGTTCTGTGGTGAATGCTTGTGGCCATTTTAAATATTTAAACGATGACTTGTTGTGTTGGCCAAACCCAGGGACCATGGGTAATGCAGGGGTTAAACAACCCTTGAATAATCAGTCAACCAACAATGAATATTGTGATGGTTGCTTTAACCTCACATAACCCATAGTCCTTGGGGTCAGACAATACAACAAGCTGTGTTTGTATCGTGAATATTAAAAAAACTGTTTGGTCTGGCCACCATGTGCAGGAGTCTACCATGGCATGAACAAGCCACACTGGACAGTAGTGATCATGTGAATTGGGTCAATATGAAGCTGTCAGAAATCATTCTTAATGGGGGGCAAAAGCTCATTCCATACATGTTCTTACTCTTATCTTGTGTTTTCAGAATCTACAAAGTACAGACTTTACCATAGGAATGTATAGGATTAAACAAATCTACAACAGAAGGAATTAAATACATGATAAATAATGTTCTGGCAGTCAGATCTCATTCTGAAAACCAATAGCAAGTCAGGAACTAAGTTTTTTAATTGACTATTTAAAATGAACTGGTCTGCAAACTTGGCCAATATAAAACCATCTATGAATGTGATGCATGCAAAGCAATATGAAGAGTGGCAACAATTTACTTTTTAAAACTGATTTAGCAGAATTTTATCAACTGGACATCTGACAGTTTCAGTAGCAGAATACGATCATCAGGTGTTCAGAAATTTTGGCTCGCCTTTGTGACCAGTCAAAAGTTCTGTTTGCTCCTCCCTACTGATTACTATTGATTCCCTGGCTTGGAGGTTTGTCTCCAATATTCATCTGGATTTTGGAGAAGTTTCACTGTCTTCAAGTAGCTCCAAAATTGAGAGTTAGACCCCAACCCATTTCTCCATTATGCAGGTGTGTTCACTGGATTAAAAGGTATAGCTATCACTACTGACCTGGTACATACATTTGGGACCTTTGTCCTTCATAAATAACACCACTTCATTAGTCTATCCTATACTTCATAGCTTAAAATCACTGTAAGACTAAGCATTTTCCCCTCATCTATCACTTTGGTGCCTAAGTTGAAATTTAATGACAGATCTCCTGAGTCCAAGCCCAACTTGTTGTCTCTGTCAGTGATGGCCTTCATGTCAGGGGTTCCTTAAGTATGTGCCAAGGGAATTTTTAAAACAATTTGCATGGATACTGTTAATCTTTCTTGCTTTTCACAAGTGTTCGAGTGATTGATTGATCTGCTGTTTGACTGAATATGAATGTTCTGTCAATGTCAGGGTCAGCCAATGTTTTAGTTAAGACATAGGCTGGGTTGAGAACCTGTCCCAGATGGTGAGGGGAAGGGTCAAATGAGGCTAGGTTAGAGGCAGGCCAATATATCTAGAAGCAGGACCTCCAAAGCACAAGGAAAGATGCTTTGCATATGGTATACATTATTAATCGGACAGGCTATTGGGTTCAGTTAAAGCTGCGAGAGAGATCTGAAGATAAAACTGGACACTTCCAATGTCTGGATGGGAGATCACACAGATATTCCATGTATACTGTTCTAAACTGCTTTCAGAAAGGTCAGTGTATTAAATTAAATGAAGGACTAGCATAGGAAGGTGACAAATGCAACAAAACTTTGTTTGGCATGGTAAAGTGTAGGCCTCTGGTTTCAACTCGGTGATGTTAGAGGAGCAAACCCTGATGACCACTGACCTCTTGTTTCCCCTCCTTCTCTTTCAGCATGTTGGGTACATTCGTATTGATGGTTCCACACCCTCCGCTGAGCGTCAGTCTCTTTGTGAAGAATTTCAGTTCACCAAGAAGCACTCTGTGGGTCTCCTCTCCCTAACAGCAGCTAACATGGGGCTTACCCTCTCGGCTGCTGATCTGGTTGTATTTGCAGAATTGTTCTGGAACCCAGGGGTAAGAAATCAGAGGTGCTTGCCTGACCAAAGGAAGGGTTCATAATGCTTAAAGTAAAAAGTCTCATTCAAATCTTCTTGATTGGTTTATATTGGAATGTTCTTGTATTGCAAACCGTTACACACTTCAAACCATGCATTCCTTTTGCCAATTTGGGTTATCAGTTGCAGGATTTCTATGCACTTAAAAATTATTTTCAGATCTTCATGCTGAATATGCAAATATCTATAAAATAATCATGCACTGGGGGGCAGGCATGGATGCTCATAAGCATTGTGTACCCACTTCAGTTCTATTGGTGTTGCACACACATGCCTGGATAGGGTGAGTTGTCCTGAGCATGAAAACAGAAGTATGCAAAGTGGCCCGCTTACTAATTTCGAGAGGTCTTGAGCCTCAGTTTCCTCTTTGTAGATGGGAAGGCTAGCACTTCCTTCAGTTCGCTTGACTTTTATCAAGTTTGTCAGCAACTTGACAAGGAAGAGCCATTATCCCTGTTGGGGATTACAGCTGCAATCATTATTCCCCATGCCTCTGTTGTTGTTGTTGTTTTAAATTTTTATTTGTATATATATATATTTTCACAGGTTTTGATCCAAGCAGAAGATCGGGCACACCGAATTGGGCAAACCAGTTCTGTGAATATTCACTACTTGGTAGCAAAAGGCACAGCTGATGATTACTTATGGTAGGAAGAAGAAAGGGTTTCATCATTTGGGGGTGTGTGTGCATTTTCCAAGTTGAGATTTATGATTTTGATCCTGAGAAAATGAAGGTCATCCAACTTTCTCTGTCGTGTTTAGTGATCAGGTAGGTATTAGGTGAGTGACATTCCTAGTGGATTCTCATATCTGTCCCTGCCACCATATCAAATCATCATAAAAATATCTGCATTCAAGAAACTCTTCAGCCAGAAGCAGTTCTGGAATGTTGGCATCCATCAACACTCTCTGTCACAAATGTCATTAAAGTTCATAATGACCTTGCTTTTTCCTTGGTTTTTGGTTTGCAGAATTTTGCAGGGATTCAATTTGCAGAAATTTAAGGCACCTCAGAAGGGTCCTGGCTTAGATCTTGCAAAGTCACAAATGGCCTTTTTAATGGAAGACCTTACTGCTGAGATCAGATCCACATATGCTCAGCTGGAATCCATCTATTGCATTTCTGTTACACTTCTTCAGCAATCCATAGGGAAAGCCCATATAGTTCAGTGGTGAAGCTGCTGTTTTGCATACAGAATGTTCTGGGTTTAACCTCCAACATCTCCAGATATGGCTGGAAAGGCTCCTGCTTGAGGCTGTGGAGAACTGTTGCCAGACCATAGAAGGCAGCTTTCTAGGTTGATATTAATGAATGACAAAGAAGATAGGATATACCTAGCAATGCATATAGATATAGTGGTGGAAAGCAACCTATTCCACTTCACTGGACAGTGACAGGGAGTGGTCCACAGTCAGTGGGGACAGATGCTTTCATCAGAAATTTTGTTCCCTTCTCAAGAGCCCTGAATATCAACTTTACAAATAATTACCTTCTTGCCTTGCAAGGAACTGAGATCTTGATGTATCGCCCACACATGAAAGAAAGCTAATGACAGTCATTTTCCCATTTTACGTGTAAATCACTGTCCATGAAATAGCTGGCACAAGAGTGGGAGAAAATGTGCGGTTTGCTGGGGTGGAAGTGGTGGTGGTGGTACCCTTTAGCCCCCTGTTCCTCAGCAGGAGGCTGTGTGAGTGCCTGGCCTGCCTGCTTGATTCTGCCCCCTTGTCTTGTCCTCTTTTCTCTTGCAAATAAGTAAGGAAGAAGTGCTTCTCCTGGGATTGGTTGGCACGACCACATTTATTGCAGCTGCTATAGATCTGATGCGGCCTGCTTCTTCTACAGGGTGCACATGGGGCTCATCCATGAGAATAAGCTTGCCAAGTGGTGAGCTCATCTTGTGGCCGAACACACTTTGACTGATTGTGCCAAAGGGTTGTGTGATGATAAAGCCCAAAGAGGTGTCACCATCTTGACACTAATGATGATGTCTATGCATTTACTTTAAAGACTTGCACACCACTTGTCAAGAATAAGTCCTCTCAACACATCTCATACAAACTGTTTTTAAGCAAACACTGTCGAGCATTTAAAACAGCAATTTTTTTAAACATTTCAAAACCAAATAGCTAAAGGAACTGTGAAAACACATTATTATTATTATTATTAGAACATTTCTATGCCGCCCCTTGCCGAAGCCTCGGGGTGGCTTACAACACAATAAAATACAATAAAATACAAAAATAACAATATAAAATTAGAATTAACAATATAAAATAAATATAAAATATAAAAGAAGTCACCCTGGCCAGATAAACAAGCAAATATTGTTAACAATTAAAATGACGTTTAAATAAAAAGGTCGTCACCTGGCGCCGAAAAACAACGACGGCGCCAGGCGGACCAATTAATGACCAAGACCAATTAGAATAGGAGAGATCATAAATTAAACCAATCTAATATTCTGTTCAAAGTTATTTGAAAGCTAAGGTCTTTAGGGTCTGTCTAAAAGAGAAAAGGAAGCAGGCCAAGAGGAAGATTTGAGAGGCCGCCACTGAAAAGGCCTTATCTCATGTTTCCGCTGCCTTGAATGGTCCTACTTTTGAGTGCACAAGCAGGGCCTCTGTGGCCACGCTCAGGACCTTGGCAGACTCTGATAGATACAAATCGTCCTTCAAGTGACTTGGTCACAAATCATCTGATGCTTTAAAAGTTTGGGCCATCTCTTTTCTTTCTGTGCATGTCTGCATGTTTCCTCCTCTGTTGCTAGCACTGCCAAGGTCTCTCTGTGTGTATGCTTGTATCCCACCTTTCCAACAAATAGTGCTTAAGGTGCTATGTTAAAACATGCAGACACATACACTCCACATTTTCTGATGATAATGTCTATCCTCTCCTCTCCTTTAATCTGGAAATATTTCAGGTTATCTTATGCAATAGTAGCTTGACTAACATGTGCTGTATATCCCCTAAAGCAGGTGAAGCAGAATGCATGTTCTACTTGCATTCCTTACAATCTCCTCCACTTCACATTGTACACTGAGGCTGAATATAATGTATGTATGTATAATTATGTATAATATAAAGTTGGTTCTTCTCACTGTAAATGTTCCCACTGGTTATGGTCTTTGTCCTCTGGTGGGTACATCACCTGTCCCCAGTTAGTTTTCCAGATTGCTAGATTGTTTTGCTTTTTGTTTTGCTTTTTTAAATAGTACAAGGTTTTTTAAAACACGATTTTGCTCTGGATCTCCCTGCCTCTTCCCTAAGCCCATGTTGGCTTCCAGTGTAGCCACATAAGAAAGATATTGGGGAATTATGTTTTTCAGGGGTTTGGGGGATCTACACAGCCATTGTCATATAGTACACTACTGAATTGGCAGTTTGTCCAGAACAGAATGAATGCTTGAAAAAGGCAAATATTTTGTCCTAATGGGCTTTGTTTTGTTTTTGTAGTGGGGTAGATATAACATTTCCTGCATTACAACATTTTGAAACAATAGAGGCTTGGGATGTCCTGCATAAAAATCTGTCTGTCTCGGTGTTGCTATTGCTACTTGGTGTTTCCCTTCACCCTCTGCTTCCCAGAAAAATATCTCAGTTCATATAGAGAGGAACTGGGGATGACTAGGTGGAGAGAATTTGAGATGTGGAGCTTAGGACCTACTTATTGTAGAAATCTAAAAAGTCTATGTGTGTAACTAGCATTGAAATTAGTGGGGTGCAGAATATATGGATTATAGACTAAAATTCTCATCAGCATGATCTGTGATCATTTTCAGTTATTGGGATGGGAGCAGCTATCAGCCTCATGATGCTCTGAGCCTGCTGGGTTATCCCTTGAAATTTTGAACAGGATGCTTACTTGAAAGTCTCTCTTTGTCTGCTTTGGTATTTCTAATGCCCTCTTCCTCCACTAGGCCCATGATTCAAGAGAAGATCAGAGTATTAGGTGAAGCTGGCCTGTCTGAAGCCAAGTTCTCTGAGACAGCCGAAGCTACTGATTACCACTACAAGGTAACTACCTGGAAAGCAACATTTGTCCCTTTGAACATGAATGTATATTGTGGAGCATTTAACTTCTCTCTTATGTTCCCAGTTGCATGATGTTTCATGCAATAAAAAGAGAAAGTGGTTGTGAACATCTGTACTTGCCTAATGTTTAGAGGAGGGAGATAGACACATGCAAAGCTGACAAGTTAAGATGATAAAGGAGCACAATTAAAGAGGCTGAATCTCAGGTTTAGCCAAAATCAGAGAGAGTACATTTAAGGGGAAGCCCATCCTAAGCACGCTCCCTCTCTCCTTGGCCAACTGTCACGTGTTTGCGTCAGCAGCCTTGCTGCAGCAAGTCCTCCTGTTGTTTGGGAATCCCTTTTCTCCAGGAATCTGACCACCAACGGCAGTTGCTGGGCAATGGCCACTGTTCTGGTCCCCACAAGCTCTGATGTGGCACATGGTGTGGCAATTTGGGACACCGCCTGTGCTTGGGCCAAAGGCATCTCTTGGATGGTGTCATTGCAGTGAGTTCATTGAGAAGCTCCCTGTGCTGCTGTTGAGACACACTACTTGAGTGTGTCCTCTTTCTCTTCTCCACTCATAGAGCAGAGAGAAGACTTAAGGACTTTGATCTTTCTTTCTTCTTCTGTATGTCTCTCATTTGAATATTCTCTGTTGGTTAGCAGAGGTGTTTTGTCCATGTTTTTCTGTATAAGTTTGCCAAAGATTTCCCCTTTCATTTCACAGCAGGACCCAAAGCAGCAGACCATCTTAAACCTTTTTCAGAGGACCTTCTCAAAGGATGCTGATGACATGGATGAAGCCCTGCTTGTAGAAGCAGTGGATGCATGTCAGGATTCTGGACAACAAGCTTCATCAGGTGAAGCAAAAGGAAACCTTTTCCAATCAAGCCCATGCAAGCAACGGCATATAAATGATTATTTTTGCAAACAGTAATATACACAATTATGCTTAAGGTAGTAGTTAAGGAGAAAAATCAGTGTGGTCAATAAACAATTTAGTAGTTCAAATAAAGATAATATGTATTTTTAAATGTGGCTTTTTAAATCTTGCACACACAATATTTTTACATAGCAGAAGGAGTTTCTGACTCTAAGCCTTTTTTACACATGTAGCCCAAGCCTTCATTTTTACTTGGAAGTAGTTTCACTAAATTTAATGGAACATTCCTAGGGAATATTGCAGTCCACATCGCAATTTAGGTTGCAATTGTTTAATGAATTAAATGGCTGAATGATGGCACTCTAGGAATTCCAAAAATTGCAGCGTTTTTCTACCAATGCATTGCTTGGGTGCAAGGTTTCCCCACTGTGGGTGAAGGTTCAGCATGAATAGAGTTTTGCTGATGAAACTGGAGCTCAGGTAGTGGATCCAAACAACACTGTGTTTGTCAAATAATTTCATATTAAAAGGAAGTTATATTTTATCCGGTTTAGTGTTAGGTTCCATGAGAGACAGCCACTCATTAGCTTAGCAGCTTCAAGTTAACAACAAGTTCATCAATAATAAGATGAAAACAACAACAGAAACTTAACAGGAAGAATCACAAGGAATGTTTATTACGACATTTAGCAGGATAACAAATAGAATGTATTTGATTCTTAATAGACATCCAAGCGAAATGTAGTCCTCTGGGTGTTTATTTTGATGTAAGTCTACTATATTCAGAAGGACTTCCAGTTTAACACAGCAATATTATATATGCATATTTAGAAACAGAAACAGAGCGAGTAAGAAGGGGTCTCCCGGGCCATCTAGTCTGACCCCCGGCTCCAGCCGGCTCTGCTCACGACATGCCCACCATGTGGTGCACGTCCAGCCTGTCTTTGAACACCCGCACCGATGGGGCCTCAACCACCTCTTGTGGAAGCCCATTCCACACCCTCGGGGTCCTAACTGTCAGGAAGTGCTTCCTGGCATCTAAATGGAACCTCGGTTCCCTGAGCTTGCTTGCTTTGTTTGTTTGTTTGTTTGGAACACTTATATGCCACCCCATTCGCAAAAGCCTCGGGGTGGCTTCCAATACAAATAAATAACTATACCAATACATAAAAATCTGGAGACATCCCGGCATAAATATAAAATCAATAAATAATTTCAACAATTAAAATAACATTTAAATAAAAAGGTCTTGGCCTGGCGCCAAAAAACAAATAACAACAGTGCCAGGTGGACCTCTCTGGGGAGCACATTCCATAAGTGGGGCGCCACCACAGAGAAGGCCCTCCTCCGGGTATTCACCCTCCTTATATCTTTCATGGAGGGTTCCTGGAGAAGGGCCTCTGCCGCCGATCTCAAGGGGTGGGAGGGCAGATATGGACGCAAGCGCTCCTTTAGATAACCAGGTCCCAAGCCGTTAAGGGCTTTATAGGTGATAACCAGCACCTTGAATTGGGCCCGGACTTCAATGGGGAGCCAGTGAAGCTGATGGAGGACTGGGGTTATATGAGAACAACGCCCAGTCCCTGTCAGCAACCTGGTAGCTCTATTTTGCACCAACTGAAGTATCCGGACCATCTTCAAGGGCAGCCCCACATAGAGTGCGTTACAGAAGTCTAATTGGGACGTTACCAATGCATGTGTCACTGTCGCCAGGCAATTGTTCTCCAGGTAGGGACGCAGCTGATGGATCAGCCGAAGCTGAAGGAAAGCGCTCCTCGCCACCGCCGTCACCTGAGCTTCTAGCGACAGCTCTGGGTCGAGGAGCACTCCTAAGCTGTGAATGCTGTCCCTAAGAGGGAGTGCAACCCCATTCAGGACAAGGTCCAGGTCCCCTACCCTGAAGCCTGAACTGCCTACCAACAGGACCTCCATCTTGTCTGGATTGAGCTTCAGTTATTGGCCCTCATCCAGCCCATTACCTCAGCCAGGCACCAGTTCAGCACAGTCACTGCCTCACCTGGATTGGTGGAGAATGAGAGGTAGAGCTGGGTATCATCAGCATACTGATGATACCGCAGCCCACACCTCCTCATGACCTCTCCCAGCAGTTTCATGTAGATGTTAAATAGTAAGGGGGACAAAATGGATCCCTGCAGAACTCCATGGCATAGCTGCCATGGCGCAGAGCCATAGTCCCCCAGCACCACCTTCTGGAATCGGCCATTGAGATAGGAGCGGAACCACTGCAAAGTAGTGCCTCCGACCCCCAATCCCGCTGGCCTATCCAGAAGGATACCATGGTCGATGGTATCGAAAGCTGCTGAGAGGTCCAGGAGGACCAACAGGGACACAGCTTTGCTCCGTTGGAGCGCATCCTGCCTTCCTCTGCAGGGGAGACCAGGTATCTACCCATCTCCATGTGACATCCCCTCACATACCTGTATGTCGCCAACATATCCCCTCTGAGTCTCCTCTTGTGGTGAGGGAGGTTACCCTGAGACTCGGTGATTGGGCCATAGTCGCCCAGTGAAGACTAGAAACTACATCTTCCAGATTCCAGTACAACCCTCTACACTGCACTGGGAGCCCTGGCCTAATGAACAGGATATAAAAACCTAAATAAATACACTGGCTTCACTTTGAGATGCAGAACCTAACACTGAGTGTGACAGCAACATCAAAGAGAACTTCTCCAGCTGGAATGGTGAAGAGGCTAAAAGCCAGTGATCATGCCTTGAGATCATTAGCATATAGTCACATGACCAGAAAAGAAATTCAGTATGATTCACAAATAGACTAAAGACCACAACTGGGGATTAGGCATGAATTTTGTTGTTGTTAGTTGCAAAGTCGTGTCCGACCCATCGTGACCCCATGGACAACATTCCTCCAGGCCTTCCTGTCCTCCACCATCCCCTGGAGTCCACTTAAGCTCACGCTAACTGCTTCAGTGACTCCATCTAGCCACCTCATTCTCTGCTGTCCCCATCTTCTTTTGCCATCTATTGTTCCCAGAATTAGGCTCTTCTCCAGGGAGTCCTTCCTTCTCATTAGGTGGCCAAAGTATTTGAGTTTTATCTTCAGTATCTGGCCTTCTAAAGAGCAGTCAGAGTTGATCTCCTCTAGGACTGACCAGTTTGATCGCCTTGCGGTCCAAGGGACTCAAAGGAGTCTCCTCCGGCACCACAATTCAAAGGCCTCAATTCTTCAGCGCTCAGCCTTATGTATTTATTTATTTAGAGTATTTGTAAGCCGTCCTTTCGCATAGCCTCAGAGTGGCTTACATAAATAAGAGTAAAATAAAACATAATACAAATAAAATCCAGATCCACCCTGGCTGCAGATTAAAACCTATATAGCTAATGTTAAAAGTTATTAAAATATTGTTGAAATAAAAAGGTCTTAGCCTGGTGCCGAAAAACATAGTGATGGCGCCAGGCAGACCCCTCTGGGGAGCGCATTCCATAGGCGGGGGCCAACTTATGGTCCAGCTTTCACAGCCATACATTGCAACTGGGAAAACCATAGCCTTGACTATATGCACTTTTGTTGGCAGGGTGATGTCTCTGCTTTTTAGTATGCTGTCTAGATTTGCCATAGCTTTCCTCCCCAGAAGCAAGCGTCTTTTAATTTCTTGGCTGCAGTTACCATGTGCGGTGATCTTGGAGCCCAGGAAAATAAAATCTGTCACTACCTCCATTTCTTCCCCATCTATTTGCCGGGAAGTGAAATGACTGGATGCCATGATCTTAGTTTTTTTAATGTTGAGTTTCAAGCCAGCTTTTGCACTCTCCTCCTTCACCCGCATCAAGGGGCTCTTTAGTTCCTCTTCACTTTCTGCCATGAGAGTAGTATCAGCTGGATATCTGAGGTTGTTGATATTTCTCCCAGCAATCTTAATTCCAACTTGTGATTCATCTAGCCCTGCCTTTCTCATGATGTGCTCTGCATATAAGTTAAATAGACAGGGCGACAGTATACAGCTTTGCCAAACTCGTTTCTCAATTTTGAACCAATCAGTGGTCCCGTGTCCAGTTCTCACTGTTGCTTCTTGACCTGCATATAGGTTTCTCAAGAGATGACTAGGATGGTCTGGTACTTCCATCTCTTTAAGAACTTGCCACAATTTGTTGTGATCCACACAATCAAAGGCTTTAGCATAGTCAATGAAGCAGAAGTAGATATGTTTCTGGTACTCCCTAGCTTTCTCCATGATCCAGTGTATGTTGGCAATTTCATCTCTAGTTCCTCTGCCTCTTCGAAATCCTGCCTGTACTTCTGGTAGTTCTCGGTCCACATACTGCTGGAGCCTAGCTTGTAGGATTTTGAGCATAACTTTGCTAGCATGTGAAATGAGTGCAATGGTGTGGTACTTTGAACATTCTTTGGCATTGCCCTTCTTTGGAATTGGAATGTAAACTGACCTTTTCCAATCCTGTGGCCACTGTTGAGTTTTCCAAATTTGCTGGCATATTGAGTGTAGCACTTTTACTGCATCGTCTTTTAAGATTTTGAATAGCAGTGGTGTAGTGGTTTAAACTGCTGTGCTGCTGGGCTGGTTGATCGAAAGGTTGCTGGTTCGAACCTGCACAACAGGGTGAGTTCCCATTACTCTGTCCCAGCTGCTGCCTTGCAGTTCGAAAGCATGCAAATGCAAGTAGATAAAAAGGTACCACTTTGGTGGGAAGGTGACAGCATTCCGTGCACTTTGGTGTTTAGTCATGCCGGGCACATGACCACGGAGACTGTCTGCAGACAAACGCTGGCTCCCTCGGCTAGGAAATGGAGATGAGCACCGCCCCCTAGAGTCAGCCATGACTGGACATAACATCAAGGCAAAACCTTTACCTGTAGGCATGAATGCATCCCAGCAAAAAGTCAATACGTTGCATAATTACTGATGGTAGGCTACCATTCCCCATTCATAAACATCAAAGATGCACTGTCATTAATTTAGATAATTCTGATTCTTCTTTAGTAAAATTCCTGTCCTCTCTGACCAAAGTAATCTTTCTTTTGTCTGCCTGCCTGGAGCCAGATGTTGTTCAAACCCCTGTAAGAACCCAGGGCTTCAGAAGAGGCCTCCAAATCTAAAACCATATACTCTTGGTTCATGGCACACTTGATCGTTCCATGGTCTCCTAGAGGCTCAGGATCCCACTCTTGTGCTGAGTGCTGAGTGAAGTCCAAGGCCCTCTTTAATGACTCCCTATATAAACACCTTGCAAAACCCACTGCAAACCCCACTTTTCTCTTGAATCTGTTGTTTTGTCTCCACTGAGCTCTAGAATCTTAAGCCCTCAGTTTGTCCTTGCACAACTTCTTCAGTTTCCCTGGGACAATAATCAGCCCATTTAAGTCCAGATGCACTTCATTATCTGGGCACTAGCCTTCCATGCACAGCTGCCCTTGGTTCAGACACTGAGCAGACATTTGAGCTAATTTCTACATCATATGTATTCATTTTTGTTATCTGACATGTATGCTAAGGTGCTATACAAATCAATTAATTCAACCCTTAGGGTCATGTAAGAACCTATTTCCAACTGGCTAGTACCCAAAATTAATTTTGGATTCTTATGTGTTCAATAAGGAAGGTTTTGGAAGAGAGGTGTGTTCACATGTGTGCATATATGAAGACGAATCTGCCAGGGTGTGCTGCAACTAACTTCGTAAGGTCACTAAGTAATGTATGTGTCTGAATCTGTGATTGGAGAGAAGGTTTGTTAACAGCTATGTGATCCAGAGTTTTGTTACAGAATGCATTTGGGATTGTAACAGCTAATCAAATGATACTTGGTCCTGTTTTGCCTTGTTATGATACTTTATTGTTGAAGGGTTTTTTTTTTCCTTGGGCAAAAAAGGGTGGGATATAAGTAAAATGAATACATACATACATTGAAAAAAAATAAAACCTTCATGTAGGTTGGTGGTTTTGTCCCATCTTTTCATTCTAAAAACAGGACTCTCAAGGTGACTAATATAAATATTAAAAGCAATCTTCCGCAATAAACTATTTTTAAATCTAATGCTGATTGCAACAAATAAAACGCAAATAAATCCAGTTTGCTAGGGAAAGCAAATTAAAATGGCAGAATTTAAACCAAAGAAAACATTCAGCAAAAGACCAAAAGGGCACATTGGTCTTTGAGCAATTTCATATTCTAGGTACTGCCAAGTAAAGGCCCTTTATTGTGCCCCTAGCATACACCACTGTTGACAGTGGTGGGGAAACAAATGGGATTCTCCTGTCATCTAGACAAGATAGTTTTGCAGGGTGTTACTGTTTTACACTTCTGAAATGCTTAAAAAATGATAACCAGGATGACTTTGAATTGTGCCTGGAAATGAACTGGCAGCTAGAGAAGTTAGTATGAAACTGATTCCAGCAAGCACCTTCACAGGGCATGTTGTCCCAGCTGAAGTTTCTAAATATTCTCCAAAGTCAGCCCTACATAGAACTCATATAGCAATACAGACTTGGAATGAAGCTGTATGTGGTTATGTTTGCCCTTTTCAGAAGGTAATGCAGTTGGCTCACCAGCCCAAAAGGATTTATTACGTGGTTCATGTGTTGGACTGGGGACACAGTAAATGTAGTCTTGGTCATGAAGGTCACTAGGTGACTTAGGGCCACTGGCTTTCATCCTAGCCTACTTCACAGGACTCTTGTTGAGAGGATAAAATGGAAAAAGATCAGAACCTTGTAAGTCACCTTGGCTTTCTTGCAAGAGTGGTATAAATGTTAAAAAGCTCCTTTCAGGGTGGATATATTTCAAATAAATAAATCCTCTATGTTGTGGTAATTATACCATTTAATTATTTCTTCCACCTGTCATATCCGGCAGTCATTTTGATTCTCATTTTCCTTATTTTCTTTTATACCTGGACTGGAATGCCTGATCAGGAGTCACTGTCAAAGCTGTGTGGAAAGCTGATGTTAAAAAAGATGAAGTATTTGATACATTCATTCATGTAAATCTTTGATATCCTGCCCTTCACAGTGTCTCAGGGTGGTAATATAATAAAATATATCAGTAAGATACAGTATCCAGATAATAATATATAAAATCAATCTTAAAACATTACTAACATTTAAAATAATGGGGAAAAGGTTTTGGCCTCATGCCAAAATGGGAAAAAAGTCAGCAGCCACCACTCCCTGGGGAGTCTATTCCATAGCTCCATATATTTTACATATAATGATACTGTTCGCTATACAGGGGAGTTCTGATTCAAAACTGACATTACTTTAAATGTGTGATTAGCATTTAGAACATACACACAGTCGGCTCGAGATCCTACGGTAATGGCGAACAGAAGGGCTTTAAAGACCTGGATCGGGCCCCTGAACCAACTTTACAATAGAAATGAAAAGACTATAATAATTGCTAGACACGCATTTAAATTGTAGGACAGCAACTACTCTCAAGGCAAAGAAAACACCTGCAGCAAGAACAGATACGCTAACCATAGAGTACGAAAACTTCCTAGCTTCCGGATAATCCCACGGCCGCCTTCCAATCTCTATGGTTGTAGTCAATGCGCTTCCTTTTACTTCCGGTTTCAGCCGGCGAAGTGCGCGTGCGCGTAGAACTCTTCCCGTCTTCCTTTCTTTCTGCGTGCCGCTGGGAGAGTCAGGATGGTGAGTACAGCGCTCTTGGTCTATGTTCAGTTCTATCTGCCGCCATCCTCTTCGGTGCTTGCCTCCTCAGCACGGCCGCTGTCGGGGGTTGGAAATACAGGGGCAGGTTATCGCGGGAGCCGCGTATTGGGAGATTTTTGGGCTAAATACCGCGAAGGCGACTCTCGGACCTTCCTGGGGCTTAGAGATGGGCCTAGAAAGGATTTAGGGCGGGATTGCACGCTCGGTACGGATACTCTTACGGAGGGTAAAATCACTCTCGAGATTTAGGTGAGGCTGCTCTTGACTTGGGAGCTGCGTCTAACCTGAGAGGCATTGCTCTTTCCTATAGCTAAATTTAAATGACGGAACTTTGTGTTGCGTTTTGATGAAGCGTTAGAGAAGACCTCTCTTTTGTGTCCTTTTAACCATTGGCTAAGAGGAATGGACGACCACTGAGTTTCAAGGGCTTTTTAAAGCTGATCACTGCCATCCATTACTTTGCTTATTTGTGATAATTATTTGTTGTCTTTTCCTGAACCCAGTCGGGTGAGGACTTTGCCACCATCCAGAGTTAGAGAGAAAAAGTATTACAATCTGCAGTACTCCATGGTTTGTTGTCCTGCTTGTAGAATACTAGGACTGTAGGACTTCTTTCTGTCTAAACAGGCCTAGGGTTGCACTTGTAGTGGTTGGGGTACAAGGGAGAATAACTAATGAATGATCAGAACATGACACACTTATATTTTTCTATAGGGTTGATACATATTTGAAATCTGGTGGTGCAGTGCTACCTGTAATGCATTTTTCAGAAAGAACATTCACTGGAGCTTGTGGGGCTCACCAAATGGTGAACTGAATCTTAGATTTCAATCTAGATGTCATGAATTTCATATTAATTTGCCTTATCTAACAATGAAGAGTAAATTCATTTTAATGATTTCTGGTTTGTCAGTATCCTGCTGCCTTATGGACTTATATTTGGCTTGAGATGTTTTGCAGGAGCCAGTAGCAGTGGAGGAAAAGGGAGCAAAGCCACTATCAGCTTTGCTAAGAGACCAGCAAACGTTTACTCCTTTTTCTGTTTTCATTCTAAGTGGTTGTTGTAAGAACTTTTCCACGTCAAATGTAATAATTACCTGTGCCCAAGATTTCTTCCACTTTCTCCTTCTGCCCACTTTTTTCTCATACTGTATTTTTTGGAATAATAGGTCTGAGGATAGGCTTGTCTTGTTTTCAGTGGTCTGAAGGCTATTTTCACTAATCTTTTAAACTGAAGAGGTGGTCAAAACTGCTTTCAGTGAATAAAGATGCATTTGGAAGAAGAGAGGTTCAGCAGTAGCTGGGGTTGCAGATGTGCTTAGTCTTCTTTAGACTGCTCTAGAACAGGGATAGACAACCTGGTGATGCCTTCCAGACATTCTGGGCCATGCTTTGCATCATGGCGAGCTCTGGCCAGCATGGCCAATGGTCATGTTTATGAGGAGCATGGTATAAACAAGTTGCCTACCCCTGTTCTAGGATATCTGACAATGAGGAATAGCCTGTTGCTTGAAACAGGATACGCTAAAAAGGTCTTTACAAAAGCACCATTTGTGTTGTCATGCACAGCTGTTTGTACTTGACCTGAAGTTGTAAAGCTCTGGATGTCTGTGTTATCAGCTTACCTCACAGAGTGGAAGTGATACCAAAATGGGAAGATTCTGTGAACCAAGCTTCTTGGAGAAAGAAAAATACTTTTATTATAGTGACCTTTCCTTTCACTTTTTGTGTACATAGATAACAGGATCAAAATAAATGAAAGCTGAGTGTTGCTCAGAAGAACACTTCCCCTGTGATATGGGCTTCTGTAGTTTTGTTTCTAAAGAAGAGTGAATCTCAATAGAAGATTTCAATATTTTTCACACTTAGGGCGATATAGCAAAAAGCAAATATTTTAAGAGGTGTACTAGAGCCTATCATGCATTTGTTGTCTTTAGGCAACCTATTTCATCTGGAGATAGGGTGGGGTTGTTGGAGAAGGTGTTGGGGATGACCATAGTGGAGCCCTTGAAATGAGTGATTGAGTCTAGAATTCTGTTTGTACTAAATCCCATTGAACTCCCATTTAAGCCTGAGCAAGTTTGCTTGAAAGCAGACCTTTTTTCCGCCTTTTAATGCATTTAATTCCTTAATTGTAGTGAAGGGTGAGCATATGCAGGCACTTGCTAGCCTTGCCAAAAGCGAAAACCTGACCGGTTTTGTCCTCTTCCTGTAACAGGCCAAGCGCACCAAAAAGGTTGGAATTGTGGGTAAATATGGTACCCGATACGGAGCATCCCTGAGGAAAATGGTGAAGAAGATTGAAATTAGCCAGCATGCCAAATACACTTGCTCCTTCTGTGGCAAGGTAAGGATCTTTTTCATTGTTGCAGGTCTCCTGTGGAGCTCATGGGACTCTCTTCTGTCTCAATTTTGGGACTACTAATGTTTGAAAAGTCCCACTTTTGATTTTGAAGCTGTGGAATTGGGGTGATTTTGTGTTAGTGCTATGTACTATTGAAAATTCCATCAGGAAAAGAAGTGGTGGTTTGTCAGTGAAATTTGGCACCGAACCACCATGGAGGCTTATGAAGGACACTTTTTTTTTTGGCGAGTGTGGCCAGTGAGGGGAGGGGGAATTTGATTCCTGGACTGCCTGAAATTTCTCTCCTTTGCCCTAAAAGAATAAAGATTTGACTGCATGTGCAGTCTACTGGATATACAGTGGGGATGGGTTTCTATGTGAGTTGTTAGGAAGCACACTGTATGAAAATGTCTATCACATCAGATAATCTCTGGATGATATTTTATTTATCAAGCATGCTTGTGCTAGTTCAAAGAATGCCACTCAACTTTTTTATGAAGCCATGTACTTCATGAGTGGAGTCAGCTGGAGGTCAGATTAGATGGCCCATGAGAGACCTCTTCTGACTTGCTATGTTTCTATTTGGTTTTAATAGTTTCAGAACCAGAGTGTTGTAATTATCTAAAGTGTGAATAAATGCGAAGGAAAAATGTCATTTTTATTGCAGGTGTACTGGAAAAATGACTCTTAGTCTTTCCCAGTGTGTTTTAGATCACAACTTCCAACATTCCTGACTATGATGGTTCTGATAGAAGTTGAAGTCCAAAGCATGACTTCTTAAACCTACAGCTAACTTTTATGACTTATTCTTTCTTTTCGTGCTAAACTAATGAAATACAGTATTCATGGTGCATTGAACATTTTGTTGTCTGATGAAAATCAGTGTACATTTCTTAAAACATAATTTCTAGATTTTGGGCTTTATAATTCTTTATATCTCACTAAAGGAAAGATGGTGCTTAAGACTTTTACTATAGAGGCAGGCAATTTCCTACTGCTGCTATGGCTAGCTCTTCTCTTAAGGTATAAGTATGTCTGACTGGACTTTAAGGAAGCTTTTGCATATGGACTTACCATTTCAGAAGTTGTGGTGCAGATCACAGGATAATATAAAGCACATTTTTTGCATTGTGAGAAAATTGTAGTAAGATCTTTTGTAATTCATACTAGATTGGTTATATGTATGAAAATTTGAAGAAAAATGCCTGTTATTCATTTTGAGCACTTGTGTGGCAGCTGCGGGATGACTAAGTAATATATGCATTTGTTGTTACAGACAAAAATGAAGAGGAAAGCAGTGGGTATCTGGCATTGTGGTTCTTGTATGAAAACAGTGGCTGGTGGTGCCTGGACATACAAGTAAGGGAAATTGACAGTACACACTTATGTGTGTATGGTGGGGGCTTGGTAAAATCTTGCTCTGAGGCGAATAGCCAGCTGAGATGTACAGCTGCATTTTCTCACCTGAACTGCAGTACTCATTGTCTCAAGTTAGGTACTTTTCCCTGCATTCATTGGAGGTAGTGATGATCTAAGCAAAGCACCCAGTTTCCTGATTTGAATCCTCTGCGTCTACTTCATTTTCCTACTTCAGTCTTGTCTGCCCGCAGACCATCTTTCAAATAATGCAATTAGTGTCTAAATCCGTATCAGTCCATGCAATGTACATGTATGTGCAGCACATTGCTTTCAGTAGAAGGCTGTGCATTTTTTAAAGAGTCTGCATAGGAGCAAGACTAAATAATAAATTGTGTATATGCACTTTTATGTCAGAAGTAACAGCAGTGGGGAAGGGGGTTTCACTCTCTCCCTGTAATAAAGTGCTAGTAGACTCTCCCTCTCCCCACAATGCTTTCCTGAGCTGTGTAGCAGCTGTGGGGACTTTGACAGAACCTAAGTACAGAGGATTGAGCATGGTGTACTGTGGTCCTAGTGCCCTCAATCCCTGTGGATGTTACATCTAAAATAGAGAAAGTATGATGTATATACCTATTTAACAGACCAAGTTTGGCTTCAGCTAGAAATTGCTTCGTAAGAAGTGCTAAATGTTTGTCTCCTTTCATGTAACAGTGATGCTTTTGCTTCTTTCAGTACCACTTCAGCAGTGACAGTGAAATCTGCCATTAGAAGACTGAAGGAATTAAAAGACCAGTAGAAACGTACTTTGGTTCCTTTCTGTTTATCTTCTGTCATGGTTTCCATTTATGTATTCTATACATTAAAGGTGATTGTGAAGCTATCTAGTCCTTCTTTCTTGTATAAACAGTTTCTTCAAGCAGTATGCATTTTGTACCAAGTTTGCATTGGGATTTGTAAAAGTGCCATACTTAAGCATGCACATCATTCAAAATCAAGCAAAATAGAATTACTAAATCAATGTAGTAGTATCAGCACCTTAGAAATATGAGGAACCAACTTTTAAACATGTAAAATTAAGTATTGTAAAATTAAAGTTGTTTAAAAAGGCCCTTAAAGACAATTTTCTTCTGGAAAAATCAGTTGTATTTAGACGCCTAACATTTGATCTTGTTGATAGTATGTATTCTGCAAACTTTTGAAGCAGAAGTAGTTTTCACCAAATGCTAAATACAGTCAAAGTGCTGAATTTAGAGGGAAGGCAGCTCATTAAGATGTAAGTGGTTACTGATGGCTGTGGAGTATCTGAATAGAAATGGGACTATCAGAACTTGCTCTTAGGTTTTTTTCCTACTAACCTTTATAGATACTGCTTGCATTTTCGGGAAATAGTAATGCTCACCACCTTTATCTGGTGCTCTGTCTCACCTTTTCCAGGCTTTTCTGCATATACCAAATTTAGGGAAAATGGAAATTGTATACTGAAATGCATATTTGTGTAATAGTTTTATTAGAAGCAAACCAGAATAGCTTAAAAAGATGCAAGCTTTTGAGATCCCAAGATCTTTTCAGGCAAGATGTTTGGAGGTTGAGTGGGAGGGGGAAAACATGATAAAAGTTACTGCCTCCTTGTACAGATGGTTGGGAAGGGATAGGAGACTCCCTTTTCTGTGACATTTACAAATTTGTATCTGGAACTATCCTTAGGGTTGTGTGCAACAAGGAAAAAGTTGGTCCCCCATTTGGAAAAATCCAGCTATTACTCGGCTATGTTTCAATCTTGGACAAAAATACAAGTGTCTTTCACCAACAGAGAATAGCAAATAGTAATAGAGCAACTGTAAGTCACACTGGAGATAATTTTAGATGCCATGCTGGGGGGAAAATGTCTATTGTGATCAAGCTTAGTAGCCTTGGATAGCTGGAGGATCCGACTATTCAGAGAATTACATCTTGCCATCAGATGAGAAAATATTCTAGCAAGTACTCGCTGGTAAAAGGTTTTCATTGGCTTTGGACAGATCAGCTCTTCGAATTGGAACAAACTCAGCAATGCTTATTCAACCTATTTTGCCTCTGGAGGTCCTAATACCAGGAGTGTTCATTCTACCAACTGGAAGGCAGCTTTCATTTCTCCATAATGAATAGCTTCAGGGTTAGGGTCTGTTCTGCTTTACTAGTTCTATCAAGTAGAATTCATATGTAAGCTCATTTAAGGAAGACAGTGTTTTTGTAACTCCTCCATTGGTTCCTAGGAGGGATGTACTTGAACCCCAGCAGAGGACAGTCCATAAGGAGTGGAGGGAGGGCAGGCAGAACAGTGCTAAATATAATAGAGCAACAGGGTAGTAAAGATACTGCCCATTTAGTTTGGGGAGGGGGTATATCTGTGGCTTGGAGAGCACAACTAGTAACAGCAAATAATATTGAAGTGGGGAGCCCCCAGCAGTAGACATAGGTGGTGACCTGCTCATCACAAATAGCACAGTGCGGTGGGAGTATTTTGCCAGTAGTGTAAGCGCCACCACATTTCATGGTGCAATCTCAACAGCAATGGTAATTGCAATGTGAGGGGCTGTATTTTGTTCAACTGCAAAATAGTGCCTAACTATTAAAGCTAAATTTGAAGATACATGGAAGAAGGTGGGCAATCATTCAAGCCCATGTGATTGCAGACAAGGCCTGCAGCTTTTTCTTAAGCTGAGAAACCAAAGGGGGCCTTGAACCTTAGCTTCTGCTGCTTTCATTTCTCCCAGCAAAATTTCTGGGAATGTCCCTTGACTTTCCTCTGCATAGTTCTATGCTTGAGACACACTGGTGGTGGCACAACTCTCATAGTTTTGTTTCCTGAAGTAATACTCTTGGTCTACTTGTCATCTGCGTAATTGGTGTTGTGTTAGCAGAAATTATATTCAGTTGTGTACTGTTACTGAATATAAAACAGTGCTACTTGAGTTTGCAGTGACATCAAGTCCTTGTTTTGGGAAATGTGTATATGGAAAACTAGAACAAATCAGGATTATTAAACAGGTTATGGCAGATAAGGAAACTAACACATACTTGGAATAAGTAGACGGTACACAAAAAGCAAAGACTCGGCTTCCCAGCATTTCCTGAGTTGGAAGGCTTTCACAGCAAATTTGGCTGTATGAAACAGACTTATCTATGCTAGACAAGATAGATTTGATGTATCCATGTCACTATGAGCAACTACCAACTAAAAATATTTCATATGGAAAATTAATGCAAAGGCAGCTCTGAATGGATTGTTCTGAGACAGGCTTCAATTTTAAAAGTGGCCTCATGTGGGAGCTGCAGTTCCAATAATTCCACTTTTCCTGGCTACAGTTGAACTTAATCTTTTTCATTTTGCATTTCAACTGTGACATCTTTGCGTATTCATCTCTCATTTTCTATTTCTCATGTCCTAATCCCGAGGCGAGGAGCTTCTTGGATAGATGCTGAAGAGAAGCAAAAGAGTTAGGTTAGTTCTCCCCTGCCCCTCCCCCTCCACTGTGGAGAGCCGTATATGACCTGCATAGAATCTTTCTCTTGCAACTCAAGTACTGCATTGTAGAGAAAGGACTTACTGCTTGAAATTACACAAGCATGAATGTGGTTTTTATTTGGTCTGTCATGCTGCAATTTCAAATACATGACCCTAGACTGGGGTTTTCTTTCCTTCACAGATGTTACTTGCTTTTGATTCTGGAATTAGGCAGCTTTAGAGCTAGTGCTTCTGCTCACCTTGTACAATTTGTAAACAAAAAGATTATTACACAGACCTAATGCTCTTTTTCTAAACCAAAATTACTTGATAAAAGCTTCCCCTAGTCATCCAAGCTCTTAGTGTGAAACCTAAAAAAACAGAGCAAGTGTTTCTACCAGTATCTCCACTAAGTACATAAAAGCAAAGATGCTATTTAAATAGAGAACATGATTTTGAAACACTCTAGTGTCAACTCTCACTATACTCCCTAGTAATAAGCAAATTAAAGCTTTGCTTTAAAGATTCATCTGACCCATATCAACAAACTGGTTTGAGTAAGAGATCCCACTGCCCTGAGCAGGTAAGGAAATCAACAAGTGGGTATTTTCAGGGCATGTCAAGACAAAGGGCCTAAATGAAGAATTCTGATGGACTATCCACGTTACATTAAAACCAGAGGTCAAGACATTTTATTTTGGTTTGGCATCCCATTTAATTTATTCCAACTTTCTTGAAGTTTAGCAATCAACACAAAAAAGAGAAAAGAAAGCGTGATTTCTAAACAAGAATACAGATTGCAGCTGAGACCTGATGTTTGCAATGTTTAAACTGGGAAAGCACCCCAATTTGTCTTTGATGGATATCAACAGAAAACAGATAGCACCATTTTTCCCTCTTACAATTACTTGCTGTTGCAGTATGAAATCTGGATGCCTCCCAGAGGTAAAAACAGCAAAAAGAAACATGCCTCCAGAACTTGGAGGTGTTTTGATTTCTTCAATGCTTTTGTTATCTACCACAGTTCTAGGTTTGTTCTTGATAGATCTACAGCTAAAAGTTTAAAATTGAGGAGCAGGTAGTATTCCCCATCAAGGCACTATCACTACTGTTCTTGGATGCTAAACAGACTGGAGCTAAAAACTAGGTTAAAAGGAGCAGATTTTTTTTGTTTGCTTGTTGGGGTTGCAACAGCATTAAGGCCAGTTCTTGTCCGAGAAGCGAGGGATCGGATATGCCAAAGACAAACTGAAAGTGCGTAGTATCACCCATCAGTTGGTGAGTTGCTTCTTGTTACATTCATCCATTACAGCAGCAAGTTAGACTGTGTCATCTTATCTAAATGCTTTAATTCTTTGGACAGTATACAGTGTCCACTACAAAAACCTCTTCTGTGCATATTCCCATTATAATCACGTACACCATCTCCCTTTTCTGCACTTCCTCACAGAGCAGGCACTCTTGTCTGCACAAAAGCTTAAACAGCATTTTAGCACACCTCTGCTACTCTCATCTGGCACAATCCAGCAGACTTCTTAATGGCTGTCCCTATTTTTTGCCATAGTGTTGAAATCTCACTTCATTACCTTCAGCTGATCTCTGCCTTAAGAATCAAGCTAAGCATTAATCCCCCACAAGCCATTTCTCTTAGGGCTGCTTCATATATACTTATTTGTATCTGAGGTAGCAAAGCCTGCAGGCAATGAACTATCTCGTTTTTTTCTCATAATGCAGGGGGAAATCTCCAGCTCCTATGAGTGGGATTTTGAAGGGATTTCCCTTCCAATGTGGCCATATAGGGACAAGAAAAACAGCTTGGCATATGGGAATAAGATGATAGAAGTGGCTGGTTGGGCCAAGGAGAAATCTTATTTCAGACAGGAACCAACATGTAGTCATCTTCCTGTTGCAAGATTATTTCCACAGAAAGAGAGACCATTTACACATGCTTATGGTTTTTCTTCCAATATATTGTTTTGTAAAAAAAACACGCGCACACAAAATTTCCAACTTCCAACAATTACATGAAGCAAATGAACCTAGCAATTGTCCTGTAAATATAAATTGGCATTGATATATAAGAAAACTGCATCATCCATACAGCTGCTCAGTCAAATTTCAGCGTTTGCATGAGCCTCACAGAAATAAAATCAAGAGTGTAAAACAATATCAGAGAAACATAACCCATTCTTGTGAACTGCATATTGAACACCACATCACCCTTAGTTTCCAGATACTATTTATTCAGCTGTGTGTGTGTGTTGTGTGTGTGAGAGTGAGTGAGTGAAAGTGTGTGTGTGTATGTATATGTCTGTTTGCTGCTCTGGGGCTTTACAAAGCACTATATATATATAATGTAGTGTACTTAAAAACAAAACATATCTTTCAAGTTGGGTCCTGTGCCAACAGGAAAGAGGGACGCTGGCAGCAGCATGAAAGTGGGTTTTAAATGGGTTTTTGCTTCCTGGGGAAATAAATTCTAGGGTTGTTCCTCCAATATCTGACCCCTTTCCTTTGTGTTTTCAACTTACTATACCTGACCTGGAAGAGAGTAGATTTGGCATTAGAAGAGTAGCATTGGCATGACAAGATTCCTGCATAGAAGCACTTTTTAGGATTGGGCCCCTGAGGGGCTGAATGCAATCATACGGTTCTGCCTATGAGAAACTGGGATGTGGCACAACAGCTCATGGCATTCGGTTCTCAACGAACAAGGTGAAGTGGGCTGGCTGCACCTGTGAGGACCTTTTGTGAAACAGCTTGTGGGAGGAGGTGGTGGCCTGAGGTGGCTCCCTCGGGCAGCATTCCTGCTGGAGGCGTTCGGGACACTAATCTTCTCAGCACCCCCATTTCTGCTACAGCCCCCCATTGACCAAATGGGACAGGTTGTCAGGGCCCTGTGTAGCAGGCAACATGCAGCATTTACAGTCTTTGGTGTGTGAGGGGCAAGGAGACATCGGGACAAAGATTCTTTTGACTAGCCTGTTGGGAGCATGAACACCTTGGCTCTTTGGAAAAGCCTGGATGAATTGGGTAGGTGAGCTCTCTGACATGAGCTTGTTTCTGGCAGGTGTGTAAGCGAAAGCACTAGGTCTCAGGAAAAAACTAAAAAGGCTGAGGAACCAGTCCTTCTCTAACTAGCCCCTTTGCAATTCTTCCCCAATGGTTTCAAGGCAAGCAACTGAGCGGGTATGTGTAGCCCACAAAGAAGAGAAAAATCTGCTGTAAAAACAAGAAAAGAAAAAGGAGAGACTCAAAATGCATCGAAACCCATGTAAAATCCAGCACTGAGGTTAGGCCAAGCTGCCTGCCAGTGAGTGGGAACACGTCCATCTATTGCACATGTGCGGCATGTACTCCCCGGTCCTCCTGCTCATGCCCAGTGTAGTAGAGGTGGCATTCGGGATCTCCACGAACGGTGGGGGCTCCCTGGATGGTTTTTCCAGTGTTGGGATTAACACACCAGCATTCCCCTCGTTGGCCATTCACCGACATTTTGCACTAAACATGGAGAAGAGAAGAAAGAAGAAAATGTAACTGGTAAGACACACTCAACATAATGGTAAGACCTTCCAACCCCCCAAAAGATTTGTTTTTCAGCCATTTGTTTTTCCATGGCTTCTATGGAAAGAAAGCTACAGGAAGCCAATCTGTGTTTCCAGGACTTTTCAGACCAGCCTGCAAACTGAACAAGAAGCGAAGCTTCCCATCCAGATCTTTTTCACATGTTTGTTCCTGCATTTTCTCTCTCTATGTATGTAATGTATGGTTTATACCAGCTTTTCCCAACAGGGTATCCTCCAGAGGCACTGCACCACAACTTCCATCACCCCCAACTATCCTCTACAAAGGCCAGCGCCAGTGGGGAATGCGGCAACAAATACTCAGACTAAACTATTGCCTGCCACAGTAGCACATGGTACTGATAATTTTAACACTGATGGTTCATTATAACATGTAGGCTGTTCTAAAACAGAACACAGAAGGTGCACATGTGACCAGGTTGCACTGCATAGAAATGGAACAGTGGGTTCCATGCGTGGCTGGATCGTACAGCTCCACATATTGAAAACAGCTCTTATAAAAAGCATCTACGAAAGTGGTTTGCTAGTGGACAATGGGAGAGGACTAGCCAAGGGTAGATCAGGGATGGGCATCTCTGCCGCTCCCCAGTCATCACCATGCTGCCAAATTGTAAGCAGAATGGGTCAGCCAGAAAAAAATATGCATTTCCACTTCAGAGCATGGCACATGACTTGCATTAAAGTGAAATTATGCTGCCCCAACCCCAACCTTCCAGGAATGCAATTCTGCATAGCAGACCTTCTTCGTAAAGCAAAAGCACCCTTCCCCCCTGGCATGCCGGATTGCTGTTGAAATTGGCTATGGGGAGTCCAGAGTGTGGAAACTGTCTTTGGGCCCCTCCAACGTCCTCTCTCTGCAACAAGCGATGGAAAGGGGCATTGTGGAAGGAGCATGAGCGATCCAAGAACTATATACCAGCAAGAAGTTTTACACCTACTATCATTCATCAACTGAAAAGGTACAAAGATAGCATGTGATTGTGTCATCAGTAATATCACATTTCGATACAGAATCATTAACCACTGTTCAGTTAATGCAATTACATGGCTGCTGAAAGATCCCAAAATAAGGAATACAAAAATTTGGAGCAATTCTGCTCAATTCTGTAGGGCCAACCACTTACATTCCAAGTTTGCATAGGGGAACTGAGGCACAGAGACACTGACTTGCCCTCAAGCTGTATAATGCATCCATTTCTCAGGGATTCTTTTTTAATATCAGTCCAAGTCCAACACTAATCCAGCTGACAGCCATCTCTTCAATCTAAATGTATGACTCACAGACATCTAATGAACAAGGTAGCCGGTCATGTGCATCCACACAGGACAGCACAAACTTTTGTCTGTAATACTAGTGTAAGAAGCTAGACCATTGGCAATGCTAATTTCTTTTTCCCTGTGCAGCACAGAGGAGTGATGGTTGTATAGGTCCACGCTGTGCATGTACCAGCCTGCAGTTTTAAGCTGATACAAAAGACTGCATATGTTGGACAAGCAAGCGGCATGTAGAGCAGGGTTCATTCAACTCAGCTAAATCCCTTGAGGGAACTAAGCCATTTAAGGGGGATTAGCCACAGCTGTGGGGTGTGGGCCTTCCAGGGTAATTAGAACCTTGGGGGAAATCAGGGCTGCCTCTTTCATCCCCAAAAGGGGAATGTTGCATCAAAGCAACACCACACCCTTCATTTACATTCACACCCAGCATGTCCAGCAGGAGAATTGCTAAGAAAAGAAAATTATGCCAGCTGGCCTTCAAAAAAGGGTGGAGGCATCAGGACTGTCTAAGAGAATGGCAGATGCTAAAGGGTGTCCTCCAGGCATCTTGGACTAGAATTCCCATAATCCCTGGCTACTGGCCATGCTGCCTGGGACTGATGGGAGACTAACACAGGGGAGGGTTCAGGCACATATAGGCATCCTTGTAGTAGTCTGGAATAGGCAGGAGACTATGCTCTGCTTTGTACCCAAAATGAACTCCAATGGCTCCAAGGGTACCTGACCAGATGCAACCTGACACGATTCTACAAGAAATTTGGCATGATCTTCAAGACCACCAAGAGGAGTTCTGTGCTGTTTATGCTGTTCTCTGTTCGGCCCTGAGGATCTGCAATGACCAGGTCTGGCTGACCCATCCACAAACTTGGGCCAGCATTCTCGAGCCCTCAAAATATGGTTGTCTGAAAAAGCCCTAATGCAGTCTCCTCACTTACTTGCTTGAGGTTGTAAAGGCCTTGCTTGTCACAGTTTGGGATATTCAAGGCATAAAGGTGCTCCAAGGGACCACGTTCATCTGGCAGCCTCATGGTTGAGATACGTTCCAAGACCTGATCCAATTCCTGCTGGCAGGGGGTCTGTAAAAAGCCAAGAAAAGCAGGGGAGAGAGAAAGAATGAGAGATTGTAAATGGGACACCAGAGTTCCAGTCAAAACAGTGGAAATGCCCATTGCTTCTGCCTTTTGACCCATGAAGGGAAAACTCAAGGGCTCCAACTGCCACAGAGATGGAACAAAATTTGCTCACGCTTCTTCCTTTATAGTTCTACCAAAGTTTACCTAATAATCTCCTTTTTTTTCCCTAGCTCCCAGCTCCATGCACATACCAAAGCATCAGGAAAGCTTCTCCCACAGTCATGCCGCCTCAATGTCATTATAATTTCTTTTTAATTAAAGGATTTAAGTGTTGTGACAATGCAGCGATTTGCAGCAAAACTAGCACATATATATCCATGCAGCTGACCACACTCAGAAGGAAATGGTTTGCAATTCTGGCTTATGTCATCTCCGATTCATGGATTGGATTGTCTTTTCTAGACAGGTCAGAGATGGGAAAGAAGTAATCCAAATGCTGTTCAAATATTTAAGACTATTTTAGGACTTTTTTCTGCCAACCCTTTCCTAGAGTCACTTTGAAAGAAGTTACTTTCATGCCCAATTTCTATGGAAATTGCCCTGATTAATACTGCTACAAACTAAGTCTGGAAAATTCAGCCTATCGTTAGGGGTATTTTGATTTATGGCCTTAAGAAAATGTTCTAGAGAAAAATAATAGAAATCCAGATGCTGTGAGTTAATGAAAATTCACCACTGAGAGAGTGTTTGAAGTATATTGTTAAAAAGGTATGTGGGAAGCTCTGTGAAATCCACAAGCCTCAACCTTCAACTCCCATCAGTTTTAGCCAAGTCACAGCCTCCTTATGCCCTTCTAAAAATAATAAGTAAGGTGTCAGTTACAAGGTAAGTTCCTCCAAACTTGTAGAGTTCAAGTATTATACTGATGGGAAAACAAGGCAGAAAATAAAATCATCATCATAAATTATGAAGCATGCATAACTCAGTGGTCTTTCCCATTGCAAGTGGCAGCAGAATTAATGCTAGAGAGCAAGGAAAGGTGTACATCTTGTTCTTAATATGAGTGAGTTATATTCAGGCTGCAAATTTAGTTGTTCTTGGTTGACAATGTCAGGTTACTGTGGCTCAAAAAACAGTTACTTGTTCAGCAACAGTATACAGAGCACTCTGGCTGCACTAGTGGTTGTAATATGATGCTCTTGTATTAATAAGCAATCAGATAGTATTCATGTTAATACCTATTAATACCCTCTGGTATTACTATGCAATCAGACATGCATCCAAAGCCAGTGCCTTCAATTATCACAGATGATTACTGCTACTTCTGCATCAGTCTTGATCTCCTGCTCTGGAAAATTATGTACATCCCATAAATGAAAGGGTTTGTGGATGAGCATTCCTAATTACCATAGGCATTTGGATACCTATCTCCGATCTGTCTCCTCCACCAATATGGTCCTATTAAAAGGGATAATAGGACACCCTTCCCACAGAAAGCAACAGTTCTCCAGATGGAATGCTCCAGCATGGAACACTCATGGAACATTGTTACCATGTTCCCACCAGTGAGCTCTTGGACAAAGAAATGAGAGATATGAAGGTTGAGATCTGTGAGGTAAATGGTTTAAAATGCTACTATTGGGGATCGTGACAAACATTTACTAAATAAGTCCTACTGCATTCAGTGCGTTTACTTCCTAGTAAGCCCATTTAAGACTGCAGCATTATTCGAGGCCATGAGAGATCCCGTTCTATAGGATCGCTGTGATAATCTTTTGAGGACCACCAAGGCTACTTCACCATGTTTCTTTTTTGCTGTTTCAGGCAGGTGGTGGCTTTTATGTAACTTAGGAATCCCTTGTATCCTATAAATTATCAACAGAGCTATGTCCTATCTGGTCTGGCCACCCACACTCCTTTCCTCTCAATTTTTTTAGAAGACAAAGGCCACCCACATGTCTAGCAGCTTTCCAGATCCAGCCCCCACAGTCACTTAGAAGAGACTCTGAAAACCCATTTTAACACTTGCGTCCACCAGCAGTTTCTGTCCAAGAAAGCCTCCTGATTACTTTTCAGCCAACTCAGACTCACCTTGGAACCAGGCCAGTTGGACCAACCCGCTCAGCCAACTAGACTAGTGAGTGTATGACAATATACAGCAAGGAGTGGGAGACGGAAACAACCCATTCAGAAAGCAAGAGCAGTGAGGCAGCCACTCTGGCGGTGTCCAAAAGGAACAGGCTCCAAGAGCAGCAGAACCCATTCATTTGCATGACCATCAGGGAAGAGGATCAGAAGCTGAATTATGATGATTGCTAGGCATGATTCCTGCTAACTGCTTGTGGATACCAGCTATAAATCTGACTGGCAGCTCTACATCAAAGTCCTCCTCCCCAGGCCCTGCCAAAATCCATCAGGTTCACAAAGAGCAATCTTGTTTTGGCTTTGGCTGGCTTCCTTTTTCTTTTTGACTGCTGGTGTCTTGTCTGTTCCCCTGGTCTCAGTGCAGCCTTCAACATCTCTGCCTTGAGCGGTGCTCTAGTCTTTTCACCTGAATCTCCATTCATCTGCATAAGCGTTTAAATTTGCAGGGCAAGTGCGACATTAAGAACCTGGTGTGTTAAGAAGACCCTTGCTTGATTGGGAGAGTTCACAGAGTCCCAAGAACCCCAGTAAACGGCTGTGCCCGGTGTGCCAAAAACTGCGCAGCAGGCAGCAATCCACTGCCTGCCACCCACACCTGGTAAACAGACACACACTCACTTTTATTAGCTATCGTCTTTTGCTTTTAGCAGTGGCCTCGTGCAGTAATTTCAGACACTTCCTCCACTATTTCAAAACTCTGTTTAAGTATGTGTATCTCTATTTTTAATATTTGTTTACTTGCAGGATTTGTACACTGTTCTGTATCTATCAGGATTCCTGATCAAACCATTACAGATGACAATCTAAATTACAGAACTGAGACATTGAAAATCAGCTTAAGTTGATAATACGTGACTGTCAATCGGGGGGGAAATGCCTTCTCTAACAGTGTGGATGGCTTGTGTTACGAAGTCTCACTGTAAAGGTCTTGTTATTTTTAAAGGTCCACATGAATGTCTATGTATGAGTAACTCTTCCTTCCCCAGACCATTACCAATCTGAGGAAATGGAGGCTCTAACTCCGAAACAATACAATTTACAATACACCTAGTTCTCTCAAACAGCACATGAGGCTAGAGAGCTTCAGCAGTGGGCCAGTACAGAAATGAAATTAACAACCAACAACGACCTGTTTATGGGCTGAAGCATTGTGGACTCTGGGTGGAGGAGTTGTGTACAATTTTTTTAAAGTCTGCACATATAGAAGTAGGTGGAAGGAAAGGAGCTGCTCCAGGTTCAATGCCAAGCAGGACTCTTTCTTCACCAGCTGAGGAAATGCCGAATCTCTCTCCATACAGAGAAATAGCACATGCATGCTCACTGGAACAATAATTCCCAGCAAAGCAAGTGCAAGCTACCTTATGGCAGGAGCAAAAAAGCAAGCATGAGCCTCTTGAGCTTTGGTGGTATGTTCACACCTCTCCTATCTACTTCAGCCTTTTAATGTCTTTATTGGAATTCCCCAGAAGTACAGGGTTTCAGTGCTGAAGTGAGAATGGATCCAAGGAAGGCTCTCAGCTTCTGCTTATTGAAAGCAGCAGTTACCTCAAGGTGCTACCAAACTGGAGAAGGGGGTCAGGCAGAAAAAGCCCCTGCAGAGTGGTAAAACCTGGCACAACACCCACATGTCTTTAGCCATGTACAGAACCATGTAAAGAAGAAGGTAGCATTACCTAGGACCAGCAGAGGTATTTGAGGGTCCCTCCTAGCTGACCTCAGAATCCTTTCCCAACTCACCCGGGGAGATGGCGGCCGCAGCTCAATCTGAGGGAGGTGCTTGACAGTCTTGCCCATCTGCTTTTGCTGCTCAATCACCTTATCGCGCCTGACAGCAATCTCCTTGCCATTTTTCGGAGCCTTTAACCAGCCACCTCCACTCACAACGTTGGTGGCACTATCCACAAAGTTCTCTGCAATAGATGCTTCAGAATGTTCCTCATTATCTATAGAGAGAAGATGATGTAGAAGGAAAAATGAAAAGGCGTTTGTCTTTTAGTTCCATTTGTCACAGCCACACAATTGTTTGCACAGCAACAGGGTGAAGAAAAACTTAATTCACAGGAGCCTCTGAGAGCAAGAGCTCTGGCCAAATGGCATTTAAGAAGTATACCTGCTATGCAAGGTGTGAAAAAATGTCATACAGAGTGACCAAGAGAAAGAAGGTGCTCCTGTTTCTAGGAGACAAGCATCCCTCCTCCTGAAATAGGTTTCAGCTTTTAAATGCTTGGTTGTGCAAATTGTCTAAGTGTTTAACAATGCATTCATTTTAAAAGCAGAACACACACATGTCTGAACCACAGGAAACAATTTGACTAAATGGGCAGAACACAATGTCCCATTTGTACTATGAAAAGAAAGAAGAGTATCTCAGAAAAGCAAAGCGCCTGGCCTTTTAGCAGCACACCGGTCTTTGTTTATCTGTGCTGCCTCTCTCCCTTTACAGCAGCTCACATATAGCGGGCCAAGTTCATTCCTGACCTATCGCCTGCAGGCTTTCATGGGATATCAAAGCAGAATCTGGCGTTTAACAAGAGCAATTGAACAAAGTCATAGGTGCAGGTAAGTTATGCACATGAGGTCAAAAAGGACTTTGGAAAATAATTTTAAAAGTTCAGAAAGGTAGAATGCAATGGGATAAGCAATCACACCAAGGAAATAGAAAAAAATGCAATATAACAAAGCACTTTATAAACAAGAATTCTCAATTATTGTGTAACTGAAACAAAAAATAAATTATATATAATCTAGGTTATATCTAATTAATATTTCTATTCCATAAAAAGTGACCCATTCTTGCTTAAAACCTCTTCAGATCCAAGATCTAATACACAAAGAATGAATCTTACCATGCCTTAACACAACATCTGTCTGTTGAAAACTCTCACCATTTTCCTGAACATTTTTAGCCTGTTAGAAGAATACCTTCCCTTCCCATTAATGTCCACAACACACCATTCAATGTGTCATAAATTGTTTTAAATAGTCCACATTATGCTCTCAGTTTATCAAGCAACCTTACCAATCCAACTGGCTACATATTCTTGTGACACCATCCTAACGGATGCATTCTCTTCGTTATGTGCCACCTCCCATGTGAACCATTCAGGAAAGGAAGGGACGGAACAGGTGAAAACAGTGGCATAGAACCCAGATTTTTTTTTTAAATGGTTTTAAGGTGGACAGTCCTACAATCAGTTTTCACTTGATATTTCCATCCCACTAGTGTTGACCTAAAATATTAGAATTTGTGAGCATTCAGATGGACTTGATAGCAATACATTTAATCCTGTCAAAAACATAAGACTACATGACCACCCCTGGTAGCTAGGTCTGGCTGAAACAGAAGTCCATGGAATTTGGACTTGCCACTGTTTAGATGTTGGGGACTGCAGATCAGACTTTTGACAGGCCATTTTTGCAGAGTTTCTCTGTCAAAGCATCAGTGCAAATGTGGTGCTGACATTTGACCTCAACCAGTCCTATAGGCTGGTGCAGGAGTGGGCACTGCATTGCAAGCATTCAGCCAACAATCCAGTTGTGGCATACAGAAGACCCAGGCATCTCAAGCCCCTTAAAAGGTTCTAACCAGTCCCCCACCATTTTTCACAAAGAGTGCAAGGTCCTCTCTCAGGGCCAGGAGATTAATTGAAATCTATATGTAGCTGTAATCTTTTTTTTTTTTTTTGAAATTAGTATTTTTAACCTAGTGCGTGCACAGGTGACCTTATTCCAATTTGAGAAGATCTTGCTAGCCCACCCACCAGCCCCCATGTTAGGGTCTCCACACCACTGCATCTACAGTAAAGTAAAACTGTTGGGTGCTAGATATCCATTTAAAGCAATGTTTCTTTTAGCACCTGCAGCCACAGCTAGCCTTCCAGCAACCAGACCAGGAAAGTGTGTTCTCCAAGCCACGGTCCCTGGAACCATTAGCCTGGGGCAGGACTTCTCCTGTAGCTGGAACGGCTGTGGATCAGATCATGCGAGAAGGCTGGGCTGCCAGTTTGATTCCGATGCCTGCTCCGGCAGATCCAGAAGCCTTGTTTAGCTCACCCATCTGCCAGTCACGGGCCCAAAATGTTGCACTGCACGAGCACTCTGGTGGGGCATTCTTAACCCCACTCCTCCCTTACTGGCTGGCCTGTGCAATAGGGAAGGGACTACTAAACAGGAGATTGAACAGCATGTCCTGACGGGTGGTTGCTTAGCAAGCTCCTCTGATTGTCCCAGACTGCTGCTGGCACAGGGATGATCCAATTGGGCACCCACTGGCCTCCTTTGGCTGTAACCTTCCCCAGGAAGTGCTTTCAAGCCTTCAAAAGCACACGGAAGCGGTAGCTTGACAATCCCTCTTCAGCACGAGCAAGTCCGGCTTTAGCAGCATGCCCTACTTGCCCATTTTGCTTTCTCTCCATCAACTGAAGGTACGTACTGGGAGCTGAACAAGGGAGTCATTCTTCCCCATCCCTTCCCTGGGTCGGTGTGATGCAGTCCTCCCCATTCATTCGTTTTATAGTCCAGAATCAGTGTCCCAGCTTGACACATCATGGCCTTGTTGTGGCAGCTTTCCTGTATCAGTTTCTAAACTTCTGCATGAATCCAGCAACAGCAAAAAGCTCAGTACTTCTGGAGAGGAAGCATTCCCCCTTTTCACAATGTCTGCTCCAGCCCAGTTGAATGGGCACACTTAAGCATACAGTTTTGCTGGGATGCTCTCAGATTCTGGTATGACAAGGTCCCATAATCCAGAAGTGGCCCAAGTCTGCATTGCCCCCCCCCCCACACACCTACTGAATGTACCAGAGACCACAATTGTCCCCTGCCGCCCACATTGCTGCTACTGCCACCAAAACTGCCACTCTCACTACCAGGGGCTGCTTCACACACGGTGCAGTTCTGCTTATGAGCAATGCCCTGCTTGCCCTCCCTGCACACACCCTCAAGGTGCTGCTACTCACCAGGCCACTTCCTTTGCTAGTCTCAAGCTGCTTTTCACGGGGGGCTGCAAGTGAGGAATACTGGGCAGGAAAGTACCAGTCTTACCCACGGAGTCCTACCCACGGTTCTTTGAGGGGGGCGGGTAGGCGAGAGTCACTGGCCTCCTACATAATACCAACCCATGAGTTGCTGAATTATGGGTTGTCATATTGAAGCAAACCTGCTCTGATAACACCGTGTAGTTTGTTAAAAACAACTCAAAATGAGAACCCATGGCTTGCTGTCAGGTTGTCAACTTGTGGGCTAGTCCTGGAGTGCTTCACCAGGCTACAGAGGTAGGGGGCAAGACTGTGAAAGAAAAAGTCTAGCCACTCTACAGTGATACAAACACATTTGGAATACAGGAAGCAAACAAAGTGAGGGATTGCCAGTTTGATTGTCTGCCAAACATACCATAGGTACAGCAACAGAGCATGTTGTGACCATACAGTAAATAAAACATAACGTAGCAGTACATGAAAATCAGGTCATAGTTGCAGTTCCAACCTACCTGCAACTTTTATAATGTGTGGAGTAGCCCTAAGTAAACACACCTAGTTTTGGACCTCCATCTGAAGATTAGGAAGAAAGATTTTATAGCCAGAGGCTAAGATTTCCAATAAACATATTCAAGTTTTAAGCTATGTACATTTCCTGGATTTCTAGCCCATGCTGTGAAGAAGCAGCCAGCTTTTAGGATAAACATGTTAATAGCTGTGTGCCCCATGAAATTTAGGAACAGAAGTTCCCATGCCTTAAGTGATACAATTTGACCTCAGGAACTCACAACTGAATATTCTTGAATAGGTTTTTGGGAAGGATAGCATGCAGTGCAGCCAGAAATCTGACTTTCCATTCAAACTAAAGCCAGAGCAGGAAAAGAAATGCCACATATATTTTTTCAAGAAAACAAAGATAAAAAGGTCAAAGATAGACTCCACCCTGCCCTTTAGAGCTGCCTGCTTGTCCATCTTTGGTCTACTTACCTTAGCCATACTGGCTTCTATTAAATGCATTTTAATATTATAAGCTCTAAAACTATGTCACACTGTTGCTCTGTCTATTTTCCAGAAGCCGGTTCCTCCTCGGGTGTTACCTTCCCTACTACCCCCACACCTCATTTTGCATTTTTTTTTAAAAAACCTTCTTTTAAAAGGTTGCAAGCTGCTATTGATTCTGGTTCTGTGATTCAAATTGGTTGGATCCCTCCACTTACAAGTATAAGAGCACTCCACTTATATTACTAAAGTTACTTAAGAAATGTCTGACAAGAAGTAATTATAACATTTACCATCTGATAAAATTAAGTGAATTGTGTGTTTTCTCCACATCCAATGCTTATATACTATGCTTTTGGTTAAAGACTTGTAAATATCTGGGCAATAACAGATGAGATTCAGAGCTAACAGATGAATCTCTCCAGATTTTAGGGAACTTGGGTTGCGGTCAAGATTCACACCCTATTGGCTTGTACTAGATTTTGCAGTGCTGCCCAAGAGGTGGCAGACCATCATTCTGGCATATGCTGCAATACACATGAGATTAACCACCATGCCCCCAACATCAGCATATGGTAAATTTACTAGATATGAATGGTTGTAGGCACTTGTTGCTAGTATGGAGTTCTAAGTTATAGACAAAATAAAAAATGTGATGGGGCCTTGGGGCAATAAATTATATATGCTTCATTATAAGACATCTATCGTTCACTGAGTGGTTTCAGACAACATGATAACTGGGGCGGGGAGGGGAAGTTTAGTACAGGCTGAGTGTGGGCTATTGCTGACCTGTGCACTGCTGTTGAAATGTGGGTTCCTGTGTTATGCAAACTCAGCTGTGGTGACAAGATATGGCTTGCTAACCCTGAGCAACCCTGAGGAAAATCTATTGTCTTTTGTTAGGTTTTGAACTGTGTGTTCACCATGGCTGGTTATCTCAGCTAGGTTCAGGATCTTTTAAGAGCAAC